AAACCGCAGATAAACTTGCTAAAAAAGGGGCAGAATGTGACCAAGAAGAGAATGCAGTAACATACTATGAGAAGAAAAGGGCCATCCAGGCTATCAGAAGTGAACAGAGTCTGGCCAGAGATGACTACCACTTACTTGACCGGCATGGGCAGGTCATTGTCCTACGTCTCAGGACAGGACATAACAAACTTAACCAGCATATGCACAGGCTTCGTCTAAGTAGTTCACCTTTTTGCCCTTGTGGGCTATGTGTGCAGACTACAGAACATGTCCTGCAAGACTGTCCCTTGTTCAGCCCATTAAGAAAGGAATACTGGCCCAGTGAGTCACCACTGTACACAAAGTTGTATGGGACTAAAAATGAACTCATTAAAACAGTCAAGTTTATCACAAGAACCTGTCTGTCGGTGTAAATCAGAAAGCGAACACAAGAAGAAGAAGTCAGTTTATTTATGGTTTTAACTCCAGCAGCCTTTGTCTAAAAAGACATACCCTGCAAGGCAGCAGGGGAGAGAGGTTATAATGGCACCTCTTACCCACTGATGGCCATGTCATAGAGTTCTGAGGTATCTGATAGATCTAGCTGTCCAACCAGCTAGCTCTCCTCCTCTTAATGACTACCACTTGTTTTGGTCCACAACCACTTTTTCAATATATTTGTGGCTAATCTATATATCTAGAGGCCGCTCCACCATCCATAATTCACATTATTCTAGTAATGCATGTTACTGTCACAGTTACGTATGTTCTCAAGTCCATCCCTTCTCATCACATGTTCAACAAACATTGACCGTCTCCTTCTAATTGTTTTAAGTCTGCGACTTTAAAAAATAGTTGTAGTAATAATTGTCGGCTCTGTGGCCAAGTCGATGCGAACGCTTCGTAATGCCAGGTTCGATCCCAGCTTTGGGCCATGCGCCTTGCATTGGTTTCAACAGTGGTATCAAGAAAGCCAACCGTCCAGAAAGCAATGGCAAACTACTGGACATGAATTTGCCTAGAAACACCACACAACAGCCAGGGGCTGTTGGGGTTGGTTCTGCAACGTCCTGTAAAGGATACACAACTAACCTTTTAGTAATAATTAATGAACAGAATAGATAACCCAAATAATCCAATTAGCAGACAGCTTCTATACAATACAGACACTCAATCGATGTTAGCAATAATATATTTGATGTTATTAAAAGTACAAAAAGTTATGTGAATACATCTGTATGGTTAGTGCTAAAAAGCAGTAAAAAAAATAGACATAATTTATTTCTTAGAAAAATTATATATAGGTTACAATCAGCAGTATGATGGACAAGATACATGAGTCATGTTATTTTAACTGCACAATGTTAAATCAAGCATCAAATGTCAAGGCACTATAACAGTAACATGACAACATACATGAGATCTTCAAAAGCAATGTATTGTTAATATTTACAAGCTAAATGTATTGTCTAAACTCTTTGAGTCCCAAGGAACGCATCATACATTCACAGGTTCCTACCTAGAAGCCCAATGAACACATGATGCGCCGATTTTATGACTGTCTTTACTACCCCCTGGGCCTGTGATGCTAAACCCCCTGGGACTCAAGAGAGTTAAAAAGTATAATAATTAACTACTACTATAATAATTAACTAGTAGTAAGTAGCTTTTCACTGATATTTGGTTAAAGATTTGATATTGAAACATGGTGATCATATTGTTTGTCCATCAAAACCAACACTCTCATGTGATATGCCTAAAGCAGTTTCAGCGTGGCTGATAGGATCAACCCGAATCCAAAAATGTGTATCATGATGAGGGCAAAAGATTGCTACCTATAAATCAGACAATTGAACTGACAACTGGTTTTCAGATGGCACATCTCTATGTAACTTCCTCACTTTCTGTCAATCCAAGGTTACTGTGCCTGCAGAGATTTCAACATACCTAGCATATTAGATAGTAATAGTTAATCGAAAGATTATCCTCTTTGCACATGGGACACGTCCATAGGTACTCTGATCCCATCTTCAGCATATCCCAGAATGTTGCCGATACAAGGTCATCTCCTGAATCATCTTCTCATCCTGCCTCCTTGAGAATTTCAGCTCGGTCCATTGATTTTCCTGTACCTGCCATGGCCCTGTCAGCAAGCCAATCTGCTTGTTCATTCCCTCTTACCCCAGAGTGTCCTGGCACAAAAATGAAACTAGTTATTTTCAGCCAGGATTTCATTAGCGACTCCAACCATTTTCTTTGAATCAATCCTGTCTCTGTCTTCTTAAGAAGCCTCATGGAATCACTTGGAAAACATGCAGGGGAACACGGCTGTTTCTAGCCACATCATTGCTTTTGCTACCACTATCACCTCTATAGTCAAACTACTTGTAGTTGACAGAAAAGCTCCGCTTTTTTCTGTTAGCTTCCCTTGAACCAGATCCGTGAAAGCCCATGAACTTTGAACGTGTCGATTGAAGAATTTGTGAGTGTAGATAAATGCACGTCCTTCAGTAGAATTTCCGAGAATAAAAGCTTGCACCTCTGCCTCAACCACCAACAGGCCTTCTTCTTGTTGTTTGCAATCTCTGCCAAGTTTTATTCAGACTGAAAAGGATGTACCCCACTCTGCTGGCACTCGTATATCCATTCCTCACCAGGTTCTCTGACCACAATTGAACAAACTTATTGAGTAATGTCCTCAGCCTGACCCACCCAGGATTTTTCTGTTTTTTTTTTAACCTGCTACCCTTCTTTCTGCAAGCCTCACTGTGCGATGGATGGTGTGTATCAGCAGTGATACGCAGAAACACACATGCTTGGTAGATCACTGGTCTCATTTCCATTGTTGGAAGATCAAGGAGGTGACGCATTGGTCTGCCTGCTGTATATTTTGTACATCCAAGTTATGATGCGCATGGCCTCATTCTGTATCTGATTTAGTCTGTCTATTTGTGTTTGGCTAAAAGTCAGAATCGTCAGAGTGTAGTCAATTACAGAAAGGATCAGATTCTGGTAAAAGAAAAGTAGGCGACGCTCATTGTTTGTCACAGCCATAATCCTTAACACCGTCAAACCTCCCTTTGCCTTCATTATGATGTGGTTCAATGCTCATAAAAAGCAAGACTACAGTCAATACACACTCCTAAATACTTCATTGAATAAGTTCTTTCCATGGTCTCTGAACATAGACTCACAGCTGGTGTTGGTGTGTTTATAATATGGTTATTCAGTAAAATAAATATCACACTTGACTTTGACGTCCACTTCAGCTTCATTGCACCACCTGCTTACGTGATCAAGTTCTGTCTGAAGGCCCTTGGCAACCTGCTTCTAGTCTCTAGGCTGACAGTACACCAAAACATCATCAGCATATGACAGTGTCCTTCCCGGTTTGAACACCTGTGATTCTCACGGTGAAAAGTATTGGGGATAAAGGTGAACCCACCCTGCGGCAAACCGGGCTCTATGGTTATTAATATCTAAGCACAATGATCAGCAGCAGCAAACACTCTGCAAGTCTTCCAATTCAATGCCACATTTCTTTACTATGGATTCAGGGTGTGTTTGTATGCCAGTTCAGTCGGTCACAAGCCTGCATTTCTGAGTCGAGCTTATCACAGAATGGTTTCTATGGAAGCCTTTCATCTGAGGCATAAACATGACTCGTCCATTTGAGCTGAGAGAGACAGCACTTGTAAGATTACAGCTGATAGTGCTAGTTATTTCTAAGGGTTTGTTTCCAAGATTACTCCACTGCAAATTTGTATACATGTAATAGTTAAAAACTAACAACATGACAAAGCCAAAATAACAAATGTGCTGAAAATAGCCACTCACATAATTTAGACTTCATTTACATTTGATACCATTGTCCTCAAATACAGGCTGCAATGCCCCTCATTTCATCTAGACCGGATCATTGCAGTGCCCTGGGACCGCAACTGTCTTATATCCTTTGAGTGTTAAACTTGTCATAAAATATACAACAAAGAAAGTGGTACAAATAATGTATTTACATAGTAGACTGAAATTTTTTTTCCTACCACTTCTTTCCTCTATCCATCCATTTTCTCCTCTCTGCCCTCACATTTTATGTTGCCCGTCCATTCACCTTTAGTAGGTTCAATTAAATGTATTACTGAGTATAATGTTGTTGGTTTTTGATATGAAAAAATGAATGTGACATTTTCAATATGTTTCTTATTATGTTTTAAATTATGTTTTTAACAGAACAATATGGCAACAGAGAGATCAATAGGCAGTAAGCTTTACACAGTGGGAACATGTGTTACATGATGTGTGAAAACAGTTCCCTAACACCTTCGCTGCTCTACAATACTAATAACGACTGAAATTCCCTACATTTGAAACAATATTTCACACTAAACAGGTAAGTTCATCATCATTATCAACTTTCACTTCATCATTAACTAGAGGGAAGCAACAGTCTGTGGTTCAGCGCCCAATTAACTAGAGGGAAACAACAGTCTGTGGTTCAGCGCCCAATTAACTAGAGGGAAACAACAGTCTGTGGTTCAGCGCCCAATTAACTAGAGGGAAACAACAGTCTGTGGTTCAGCGCCCAGTTAACTAGAGGGAAACAACAGTCTGTGGTTCAGCGCCCAGTTAACTAGAGGGAAACAACAGTCTGTGGTTCAGCGCCCAGTTAACTAGAGGGAAACAACAGTCTGTGGTTCAGCGCCCAGTTAACTAGAGGGAAACAACAGTCTGTGGTTCAGCGCCCAGCAGCTACTACTGCACATTTTGTCATTCAAGTGAATGCAAAATATTGTTAATTTTATCAATACATCTTCTCTTTGAATGTCCTCTTGCTTTCACACCTGAACAGGTGTGTAAGGAACCATTATCAACAGACAGTCTTAGTATAAACAAAATCTTCTAAAAACTGAAATAGTGCAGAATGTTAGTATGCTTCATGTAGTATTAACATGACGAAACCAGTGCAGAAAAATATGAGTATAAAAAGGCTGATGTCATCTAGTGCCATGGCATCTTCTCCTTTAAGCAGCTAAGGCAGCATCAAATTGTGCAGATTTTTGTCCTTCTCTGATCACAGTTATTGACTTCCAAGGACGTCCAGAACTTCTGAGATAATTCTGTAAATTTGCAAGCATAAAAATATTAGTGAGCAGAAAATTTCACACAATAAGTCCATTATGAATTGTCTTAAAAGCATTTTTTTTTTACAATATCAACAAAAATATTCCACTGGGCCTTGCAGACAATAAATGCAATGATAAAATTATTTATGATAAATGTATTGATGGCAGAGACAATTTAATCATTTTTCCCTGAAAACAAGAAGCATATGACACTTCTGATAGGTAAAGGCCCGGCTATCTAGTAGGGCTGTACCGAATATTCGCTTCGTATTCGCTTTGGGGCCGAATAGTGGACCTAATAACTATTCGGTATTCGGCCGAATAGTTGCGGTCAGGCCGAATACGAATAGTGGTTACCTTACAACTGGTAGAAAATAAACATGTCAAGATTTCCCACCTTGGTTCATACTGTCCAGCGTTATCTCTGTGCACCACCTACGAGCGTACCAAGTGAACGTCTGTTTAGTACAGCTGGAAATGCCTTCAGTGAGACAAGAAGCTGCCTTAATGCTGACAACATGGAACAATTTTTTGGGTGTGGAAAGCTAATGCCGTTTTCATAGATTAATTAGGCTGTCAGTAACAATTTACAAGTATAGTTACTTGTTATAAAACTAAGAATACTTTCACTCCTATGTATTAGTTACCACAGACTGACTGACTGAAGAATGCAAAACATGAAATGTATTTAAATGTTTACTATTTTGTACTAAATTTTGTGAAGTAAAATGTCAGCATACACTTGACATTATGGATGTTTTCTTTTTAGATCTATTTTATACACGAAAGTGGAAGAATGAGCCTCAGTTTTAATAGTGGGAAGACAGAAGTAATGGTGGTATCAAAGAAAATAAAAGTAAAGTAAAAGTAAAGATCCCTTTACACGCCCTTAGGCGCATCGGGCATATGGGAAGAGCACCCATATTTTTACAGACCAATTGGCACTCGGTGGGTAATGTGGTCAGCATTACGCCGGCATCAAAGAAAATAATTACTCCTAAATGTGTAATAAAAGTGAATGGTTTTAATTTGGGACAAGAAAGGAAATTTAAGTATCTGGGCACATGGATAACTTCAGATCGAAGATGCATTACTGAAATAAGAAACAGAATAGGACAGGCAAAAACTGCATTTTATAAAATAAAGAACATCTTATGCAATATTTCTTTGTCATTGAAGGTTGGAATAATAATTCTTGCTTGCTACAGACATCTAGTTTTAACAAATGGCTGTAAGTCCTGGACAATCGGTAGGCAGGCCAAACAATTTCTCGAAACCTCAGAGATGTGGTATTACAGAACAATGCTTAAAATATCCTGCATAGTGAACGAACATCGAACTAGGGCGAGCGGTGCCCACTACGAGAAGACTGGTGAACGAACATCTAACTGGGGCGAGCGGTGCTCACTACAATAAGATTGGTAAACCAGCAATGAACTGGGTCGGGCAGTGCTCACTACAGTAAGACTGGTGAACGAACATCGAACTGGGGCGAGCGATGCTTACTGCAATAAGGTTGGTAAACCAGCAATAAACTGTGTCGGGCAGTGCTCACTACAAGAAGACTAGTGAATAAACATCGAACCGAGGCGAGCGGTGCTCAGAGATGTAGTATTACAGAACAATGCTCAAAATACCCTGGACACCCCCCCCCCCCCCTCTCCAAAACATAAAAGCAACCAAGAAGTCTTGATAGAGGCGGGAGCCCGAAGACAACTCCTCACAGACATCAAAAGGAGACATCATTTTTCGGCCATGTTAGATGAGGGAAAATGGAACATATGGTGACCACTGGAAAGATATGTGAAAGGAGGGATAGAGGAAGAGAAGATTTTTGACAGTCTTGTTGCATGGCATGGAGGTGTGTCAGCACACGAACTAATACATGCTGCAGGAGATCGCAGATTGTGGCGAGGCATAGTCTCCCATACCAGTCGGCAAAGCACCTGATGATGATGATTCACTATTCGTATTCGTATTCATATTCGGCCGAATAGTTGGTCCAGCTATTCGTATTCAGCCCTACTATCTAGTGTAGTTGGCTAAACCGGATTGCGCGGTGACCGGGTGACGAACTCCTTGTGGTCCGCGTTCACTCCCGGTGGGTAGCCCTGAATATCATGACCACTGATTTTCAGTCATGGCTTTATCACTGTGACATAGAAACTAAGGTGCAAGCATCACAGATAATACTTTCAGCATCCACATGGTCGTCAGCTTTGTGGCTAAGTCAATGCGAACGCTCCGGGATGCCGGATTCGATCCCAGCTGCAGGCCATGCGCCTGCCTTGGTTTCAACAGTGGTATCAAGAGAGCCGACCGTCTAGAAAGCAATGGGAAACTACTGGATGTAAATTTGCCTAGAAAAAAACCACACAACAGCCAGGGGCTGTTGGAGATGGTTCTGCAACGTCCTGTAAAGGATACGATTCTAACCTCATCCACATGGTCAAAAAGAGTAAGAAGGCATTCAGCAGTAACAAAATCATGTTGACTATTAGCTCTGACTTTCATGGGGATGAAGCATCGCAACAACACATCTCAATGTCAAAACATTATTTAGGAGGCAGCGCCAGACTCATTGGTTAAATGAATAGGATTCACTGTATTTTCTGATATATTAAAAAGAATATCAAACAACCTGACAACAGATATCATAGCTACCACTGCAATTGTTTTAACAAAGGTGCATATTTCTCTAGTTTTAAGTTCATGGCTTCTTTAACAAGTACAGAAAGAATGGCTAGGTCACATGTGGCTTCCACACGAGAAAACCTCAAACCTTCAAGAACTTGAATGGATCTATAATGACACAGGTATGTGCAGAAACAACAGAGCTCAAAAACCAGTTTCAAAATAACTTATGACTGGGACACTGAAAATGCTTAGAGAAGATAAGTGACAATAACTTACAGCCTGGTGAATGATAAAACATATTCTGGTGGATCTTCATAGTCAGGGTTGGAAAAATCAGATACCCAGGGTAAAACAGGTCACTATGACTGCAAACAAAGACAGCACTGACATGTAGCCAGCCTGCTCACAACAGGAAATCAGCATCCACACTTATTTACTTCAGTTTTCTAGAGTGCAATGAGATCTATTTTTCAGCTGAAATTAAATCATGAGCACGATTCTGATAAGGTGGAATTTTCAGATCAGTATTTCCATAAATAGATAATCATGTTGGAGATCTGCTTTTTCCATTCTATGACTGATTTTTTAAAAATGTCACCCCATGCATTTCTTGGCTTTATAGAGTTAAAAGGCTTAAAAACAAGGAGAATCAGTGTGAATGCATCAATATACTTCACTGGGGTCCAAACCTTACATATATCCCTAAAGAATGCATACAAGAAGAATAGTGGATACAAAATACCTCTAACAGACGAAACAAGAAAAACGTACGTGGGCATAAGGCAAACCATTCTTTTTCTCAGCTGGGGACGCCTTAATCCCAATCCAAACAAAGAGCTCCTTATCAGTTTCACAGATAAATACATCCTGGGGATATTTAGAAACTGTTTATTTTCTGTCTCACACAAAGATTTTCAAATTATTATTATCATGCTAACTCTCTGAGCCACTGACTCATTCCAGCACATCAAATACACTAACTGAAAACATTACTATCAAACTCATATTTCTTGCAGAAGACCTTCAAGCTGTAACAGTACTTCTTGTTTGTGTCACAAGCTGTAGACTCTGGCAGAAAGTTCTGGTTGTTGTCCTCTTCTGGACTTTAGTTTTGTTCTAGAACCTCAGTCAGTCAGTCTCTCTCCTCCCTCTCCTCCCCCCTCTCTCCCAATCCCCACCCGCCCACACGTGCACACACACACACACACACAGATATATATATATATATATTAAATGCATTATCCTGTTCATTCCTTATTGTCTGCTAATGAACAGATTGCCTGCTTAGAGAAGGAACATCAAAAAAGTAGACCCATACAGACTGATCTTTTTTCAACATCACATTTAGATACAATTCTAGAAACTGCCACAAACAAAAGGATTACTTGCCATACAGAGAAAAAATAATTATTCACTAAAACCCAGTCAGAATTTAGAGCCGATAGGTCTACAATGGACCAAATGATTAAACTAGAAGACCAAATGAAAAGAGGATTCAGGATAGGAAATGAAGTAATAAAGTTATAGAAGTATTTTGAGACTTAGGTCAAGCTTATGACCAGAGTTGGTGACAAGCTGTCCTGTATAAAGTAAGAGACAAAAGACTAGGATGGGATGGGCAAGTATATGGATACACTAGGAGCCTCTTGGAGGACATGACATTGTCAGTGATCATTAACAAGGACAGATTAAATATTTATATACAGGAAAACGGATTCCCCCAAGGTGCATGTTATGGCCAACAATATTCACTCCATATTTCTAGCGATAAGTCAGTGAAGAGAGCAAGAAACAGATTACAAAATGAAGTTAATAATGTTACTAATTGGATGATTGTTTGTTTGTTTTAGTATCCAGAAGCCATGAGTTGTTAACCCTTAGGCTCGGTATTATTAGGGATGGTAGTGAAGTTTTGTTTTTTGGTTTTTTACTTACGAAATTATAACAGCTAGATATAGATTAAAATTACAAATCCAATGGTACCTCATTTAAGCCTGTAAGTCGATTCTAAGCGGAGATATTAACATTTTAGTGGCGGATACCACCACAAAAAAATTGTAGTGGAAATCGATAAAACATGGCTTCCGGCTGCGACCCAGTGAGATGAAATGACTCAATGTTTGATTTTACGGCCATAACATTTTTGTTTCTGAACGAATCCCTTAGCAACCAAATATTGCTGGAAGTGGGACAGTTAGACCTAACTGTCTATGCATGATTTAAAAACATATAATACATTATGCACCTAATTAACATATGAAAATGGCCGGCAGCTCACTATTTTCAAGCAAAACATTATACCTGTAAGTTTATCCGCCAGCGAGCCTGGCGATATGCATATCAAATTGTGCGTCCCGACAAGGTGAACACAAAGATCATAAAAATATACCAAGGTCAGTCAACGTGACCTAATTAACATATAAAAATGGCCATCAATTGACTTTCTTTCAGCAAAAACCGTATACATTTATAGTTGTCTGCCAATGTGTTTTGTACTGGAACCAACAGGGACATAAAAATATACAAAGACCATAAAAACACATGCAGAAGGGAGCTAGAAAGTGAAGTTAAAAAGATAGGGAAGACACTAAGAGCAAATTTAATAGCAATGACTATAATGACAGCGTGAGTTGATTGAGGACTAATGCCCCATTAGGGCATAGAAGGCAGAAGAAAAAAGACAGTTTGGCAATATGTTTTTGACAAAATTGACATAGAAAGCGTATGAATGTGAATGTCTTTACAACACGAAGCACCTAAAAGTATCAACTAGTAATGATGCCACAGTGAGAAATGAATGATAAAGTGCATACATGAGGGATAACAATAAATAGCACTAATGTTCTTACATTTGAAAAAAAAGGGGGATTGAGATAGATACATATGAAATGTAGACAGACAGACAGAGACAGCATGGATGATTGATATACCGTGGGATTTTGATGTGATTATACATTCACCACAGCTTCACACATGCTGCTGCTATATCTATAAAGCCACTATGGAAACATCCATCTAGCAGGTGGAATAGTACAACAAGGATCATTGTTATACAGTGTTGTTTTCATATACATATCACTGCTTCTCTCTTGTTGTGTAGGAGTACATAAGACAACAGCCTAGGCATACACTAATAACAGAGACAGCATGGATGATTGATATACAGTGGGATTTCATGTGATTATACATTCGCCACAGCTTCTCCGGAAAACAACTGCTATTGTGTAATAAAAAAAAAAAAAAAATTATTGTAGTATCCTTGTTTGCCCAGCATCCAAGAGCAAAACATTTACACTGGTATGCATCATGACCAGTCGACACACAGAGGACTGTATTTAGTGAATAGAAAATCACACAGACAGCTTAAAATTATATGGGATCTGAGCAAATTGAATGCATGAGACAGCAGAGCCAGGAAATACCACAGGAGAGGACATACAGTGGGGATAGCAACAAGTCGAAAGACAGAGACAGGTAAAAAATTAAAAGAGGCAGTGACCCAAGGTTTCATATTTTACTTTCCACAGATTGCTTGACTGTATCTTCCTCTTGATCTGTTCATTCAGTCTTTTCAAGGAAAACTGTGATCGTTGCTTTTCTCTTACCTGTATTTTTAGTTTTCGTATTTTCTGTTGTAAACGTTTCTTTTCACATTGCATATTCATAACTGCTTTATGACACAGTTTTCACAATATCTTTTAAGCTTCTTTGGTGATGGCAATCTGCATGATGGTGAAAAATGAGGCACATTTTTTAATGAAGACAACGGTGTGAGTGCTGATCTCTGTTGGGTATCTGGTTCTAATAATGGCTGCATTCCTGGCATACATAATTTAGAGTGCTGTATTGGTAAAGTATGTCCAGGTTGTGGATCAGGCATGACAGGGAGGCTCATGAATGCGATAGGAAATGGTTCAGGAAGAGTCTAAAAAGTGACTGCAATTCTTTTGTTAAACATTTTTTTAATGCAAAATCAATCTTTTATATTTATGCAAACTAGTTGTAAGACTTCCCTCATTCAAAGACTTGCTGGGTTCTGCTGCCTGCGCCATACTTTGGACTTCACTTAAAACATTAGATATAGAATAACCATCCACTAGCAGCCGTCGAGCAATGTAGCCTTTCTGTAGAGGGTATCCAGCTTCAAAAACTGAGAGATGATCTCTGAGATGCTTAGCTGTCCTTCTTGCCATGACTGTAAATATACAATATACCTATTATAAAAAAATACATAAGGAATGTCATATTGGAATTAGGTGCTTTCCCTTGTAATAAACACAATTATACTGTTTTAGATTAGATTTTATATGCTTTGTTCTAAAAAAAAATGTTACATTCAGTGCCAGAATTTGTGAAATTCGTGATCAAGATATGGGCAGGTAAAAATATCTCCAACATAAAATTCTGTAAGCTCTAAATAATGGCAAACACATGAAAAAAATGGTACAATGTTTGTGGATATTTAAAAAGTAACTCACATAACATTGTCAATTTACTAAGCATCCTAAGTTAATTACCAAAGAATCATCTTACCAATGATGGCCTAAATTAATTATTGGGATTTGGGGGTGATCAGGCAAAAATATCTAAAACAGAGAATAAGAAGGGCTCTAAATAATGACAGATGCATGAACAAATGCTACAATGGTTGTAGATTTGTACAAAAAATTCTTAAAATAATGTTAGCAAATTTAATAAATATTTTAAGTTAAATATAAAGCGGGAAAAACCATCTCCTAGTGCAAAAATATTGGATTTAAAGCGAAAACAGTGATGCCACTAAACAATTTTTTTAAACATCTGCGCATTTGCCAATGTTTGTGAAATTTCACACACTTATATAAAAATTAACGCAGAATTTAAAAATACAACACACATTTAACAAGTTCTGAAAGAATGGCTAGGTCACATGTGGCTTCCATACGAGAAAACCTCAAACCTTAAAGAACTTGAATGGATCTATAATGAAAAGATGTTTGTGAAATTTCACACACTTATATAAAAATTAACGCAGAATTCAAAAATACAACACACAATGCAGTAATCTGGCTAATTAAAAAGATATTTACGAAATTACTTACCGTTATTCACTGCGTGCTGCCAAAAAAAAATTGATTTATTTTTTACGCGTCAAAACCATCTCGGGTCAAAGCCTGGCATCTCTCCAATAACTTCTAATAACTTTTCCGATTTTATCTTTCACATAAAGAGCACAGAAAAATAATTTCTCAATAACAGACAATTGGTTTTCAAATTTTCGGGTCGCAATTGCGTCTATAGTTACCGACAAAATGTATAGCAAAATAAACGAAACAAAACGATCCATTGCTATACCTAGTATTATGGATATCGCAACTTTTCGGCCTTGATTCCATTGTAAATCTGGGAGAAATGTGGCTTTCCTGCCTACCCCCGGGATTGAACCCGGACCATAAGGAATTCGTCACACGGTCTCCGTGCAATCCGGTTTAGCCAACTACGCTAGAGAGACGGGCAAATTGGATGATTAAATGGGTTTCCACAATAAATACCAGCAAACAGTAAGCATGGTATTTAACTACAAAACACAACACTACTAAGACGGTGGTTTGAGATTTGAACAGTGGATCAACATCATGGCACACGGGTAGTAACCCAAAAATGCTCAATTTTTCTTCAAACTCAAGTCCCAAGAAGCTCAGCACAGTGCACAGGCCCTGTAGCACCGGCGAGGATCCTGAAATACTTTGGGTAGATTTTCAACTCTAAATGTTTGTCTGGGCAGCGCCGTTAGGATACTCTTTTCAATTTCCAGCTACCAAGGGATTTTTAATAATGCATATGTGCGTCTGATGTCACTACCCAGAGACCAGGGGGAATTACTAGAGATGCTATCTGTTCCCGTAGCATACTGATTATCCAAATGTCGTTCTTTTCCTCTCATTCGTCCTTCCGTGCCGGATCCACTCCTAATTCCTTGTTCACACATTCTTAGTTAGTTAGTTAGTCTTTCCTCTTGTGTCGAGTGCGGCACATAGGGCAGAGGTCATGACTCTCCATGCATGACGGTTCGTTGCAATCTGTTGTAGGTCTTGGATGTTTGAGTGGCCCATGAGCGAGCCTTCCCTGATGATAGTTCTACGTAAGGTTTCCCTTGGTCTTCCACGAGATCTTTTCCCCTGTGGTGTCCAAATGAGGGCTTGGTAAGAAAGTCTTGATTTATCCATTCTAAGGGCGTGGCCGACATAGCTCCAGCGGCGTTTTCGTATAAAATTAGACACATACTCTTGCCTGGATTCTTGCCTTATTTGTGTATTGCTTCGGAAATCTGACCATTTGAAATTTAGTATTCTTCTAAGGCATTTCAAAACACATTCTAACACATGTTATTTTATCTAATCTCATGTCTTTTGTCAACATTCATTTATATATGGTCTTTAGAATATTTGTCTTGTCCAGTACGAGTGTTCCCGTAGCTATTACTTTTTCTGCTAGAAAATCTGCTCTTTCACATCCTTGTACTCCTACATATTCCGGACAGTATTATCACGTGATTCCCTGCAATGTTGGTGTACTGATGCTTGGTATTCACCCATGCCACATTAGACCATTTTAAACCTGCCATTCCTGAGAATCAGACAATAATTCCTCTGCTTACTTTGTTTTCTGCTATCCAAATCAAAGCTGCCAGATGAAAACTAACAAGGAACTAGGAAGGACACTTGAACTGAGTAAGATATATAAACCTCAGATACCACCAGGAGAGTTGAAGCCACCATATGAGCCTGGCAAAAACAGATTTCACAAAACACTGATCCACTTCAATTAAGGACCATAGCAAAGGAGAACATTAGAAACATTGAAACTGATAACCTGTTAATATACACTGTTGGTTCCAAAAATGAGGAAGGAGAAGTAGGAGTAGGAGTTTATATTTCTAACTGGAGAATACCAAAATCTTATAAAATCACAGATCATAATGAAAGCTTTAGAGATAGCAGCAGAAAATCCCCCTTGAAATTGACAATAATGACAGGTTCTCTTTCATCAGTACAATCACTAGGAAACCACACACAGGAAGACATATCAGACATTGGAGAGAAGATATTACCACTAACCACACAACTTAGGATCACAACAGCATGTGCATAAAGGCATTGCCGGTAATGCAATGGCAGACATTTTTGCAAAAAGAGGTACCAGCACACCTAATATAATAAAAACAGGCCTAGGAAAAACAGACAGGAAGAGCCAAATGAAATGGTATATTACAGGAATGTGAAAGAGACACGGAGAAATGAGTGCTACTGGCAGAAGGGTCTGTGAATATTCGAGAGAAGCCGCCATGAGATAACAAGTCTCAGACCTCAGACAACCTAAACGTTCCAGCAAATAATAAATTATGGAGATTAACTCTACCAGACCGCTGTACCGCATTTCCGGTAATTTCCTAATCTGCCTCTAAACTGCTGTACCTAATTTTCGGTACTTTGCGTACTGTGTGGAAAAAAATGCGTCACAAACTCAAAGTAACCAACCAATTATTGTCAAACCTCATGGTTAGTGATTATAAATGGCTGCCCTCATGTGTTTGGTTTTACTTTCTGCAGTTTAACGTGAAAATAATTCTGAAAATTTGCAATGAAACGAGCGGCTGATGCACCAAGCACTTCAACAGGAAAGTGAAGTAGGTCTAGGCTTTTCACAGTACAACAGGTGATCAATACTTTGGTTGATTCAGACTCTGAGGAGTCAGAATTTCATCAAGAATATGTTCCCAGTTTAAGTGACACAGACAGGAGAGCTCGAGTGATGAGGGTAATCTTGAACCTGAGTGTACCAACTGGAGCGTGGAGACAGAAAAACCATGCGGGATTCACTCGTTCAATTCATCAACCAGGATAGAATAGAAGCTGATGCAAATGTTCCTCCATGCCTTGATGCTAAATTTTCTAACATGACTATCATGAATGGACAGGAGAGACATCTTCAATGCCATGTGAGAGACCAAACGCTGTGAGGCTTTCAGTTTTTGTGGAAAATAATTTTTCACTGAACAGACTGCAAACCCTGAGTGTACCAACTGGAGCGTGGAGACAGAAAAACCATGCGGGATTCACTCGTTCAATTCATCAACCAGGATAGAATAGAAGCTGTCAGCCTAAAAACACTTGGAGACATACTCACGAGGACATCAGAGAACTTAGTCTCTGCCCCTGCTCTCCTCCAACTGTTCCTATTGTCATGGAATAGTTCAGTTTTCCCTTCTGATGACACAGCCAATGGAAAATTGCCATTCTTGTAGTTTTTGTGTGGTTACCCAGTACATTTTCAGAATTAGGTTCACCTATTGATGCATTCAAAGAATAAACAAAAAATGCTATGTCTATCTTTCTACTGGTGGTGCCTAATCAGAAAGATGCTGCTTTTTGTGACCAAAAAGTCTAAATCTATGACTTAAGGTCTCATCCTGGAAACAAAAACATCAGTGAACCTTATCTAGAGAAAGCCCTTCCTCTGTAAGCTAGCCATCACTTTGGTGCTGAAAATGTAGTTAATCAGAATACAAAAATCTGTCTTTGGAACACCGACCAGCATTTCCACATACCTACACCATGTGGACTGTGTATGAATGACAGTGAGAGAATCTAAGTGTGTGTGAGTGAAGGAAAAATATTTACATCTGACTTGAGATCAGACCGGGCAAAGCTGCCCTCCTTGACAACTTCTGTTTTAGCCGTGTCAGTGTTGACCCTGCAATATAACAGCAATATTTACAAATGGAGCAATTATTACTAGGTTTCCAGCTGAATTACAGTAACACACAAGGTCCGACAATTAAGTAATGAGACTGATTCCATAAAAAATTAAAATAATCAACAGGTGAAGATATAACCTCTATCTGATTCAAAGTAAGCCCCTTGTGCATTGATACAGCAAGTGGAACGATCTAACAAACACTGGAATGACCTCTGTAGTTCTTCTGTTGTTATGGCCTTTAAAGTTGATGCTACAGCCCTTTGGACGTTATCAATATCGTTAAAAAAAAAGCATCCTTTCAATCGTAACTTTAATTTTGGGAATAGAAAATAATCACAGGGAGACAAATAACAGCTCTCATTTAAATTCGACAATTCAATTTAACAAAAAAATTGCAGTCTTTTAAAAAGTATAATTATACACTTGAGACATCAATGGACCCTCAGGAAAAGGGCACAGACCATAGGTGCAGGGATGAAAGCACAGAAGTCAAGAAACAGAAAAACATCAGGAAGATGTCAGCAAGATCTTTGGGTGAACTAGCGAAAGCTGAAGAAGAAAAGAAAGTAAAGGTAGCAATATTTAAACTTTGCGCCACTGAGGAAAAGAAAAAGACGAAAATGAACGTTATCAGTAATATCGGTGTGGTAGCACACTAGGTAAATTCTGGAAGGTTACAATTTTAAACCACGTCCAATAAAAATGTTGGGTGCCCATATATTATATATGTATACATAACAACTTAATTAAATCTATAATGAGTAGCTTATAACTGTGACGAGCTGGGTAATATATAATATTACTTCTGGTCAAAATGGACGCTAGGCACGGTTACTGTTTTGGGTCGTGGCAGTTATTTTGCTTCTGCCAGATAGTGGCCGTTGCATTTTTGCTATATTTGTAGACTGAAAGGATGTAGTTTCGTTGCCCAGCTACTGAGTTGAGTGCATCGCATGACACTGTGAGCTGCGTATTTCATTTAGAAAATTTTTCGACTGTGACCAACGTGATGTTGTGAACTGTAGATTCAGAAAATGGCGCGTGGCCTGTTTTCGCAGTATTGGTGGTGCCCTTATGTGATTAAAATGATTGCGTGTGCAACTGCTGATCTGTTGATAACTTCTGCTACGGTCAATGATGAACTGCATTTCTAATGTCAAACAGTTTGTGTTAGCACTTCGGATGGCTACCGTATGCTTTTAATGAGTGTGTATGCTAGTGCATATGCTGAGACAGCAGTCTGTCAATCTTTCCACAAGGGACTGTGATGAACTTTCTGTGTGTTTTTTGTTCGCACAGGAGCGGAGCAGCTATGGGGTGACCCGTTTGCTATGAAGCTGAAACTAAGCTTACCATGATAATATTACTTAGGTGTCCCACATTTTTATTAGTCATGGTATAAAATTGTAGATGAATTTTGTAAAGATAATTAATTAAACTTGCGTATCCATTAAACTATATGAAAAAGTATACATATAATAAAAATGTTGATAAAAAATGTTTTGTGTCCAATAAACGGCATGATAAATTATTCTAGATCTTTTTAGTGCACTGGTTACTATATGCAATTGAAGAAATAAAAGCTTATATTATAAAGAGTTTGAAAAAAATGTTAGCCGAATAGCTTATCAGGAAATAGTATAAATATCAAATGCAAAAACTGAACCAGTCAGAGAGAATTTGTCCATTCAAAATGATGGCTTCCATATTGATTTATCTCAGGATATGATAATCCCATATGTAAGTCCCACCTTGATTTAGGGACCAGAAATTTGCAGAAAAAAATATGATAACACAAAGATCTACTACCACTGTAAAAGACTGTTTTAGACCTGATATTTTTGGAAAAGTGTGTCTTATACTTAGGAATATACAGTTTATTAAAAAAAGAATAAGAACTTTATAAAATAACAACTCTTCATGATAATTCATGCACGGTCAGGGTAACGACTAAGGCCGGCTACACAAATGTTGGAAGCAGTAAATAGTAAACAGCGTACACATCTAAATCAAACGGAAAGAATGGGCAGAGGCACTATCATAACAGATGCCTACTGCCAATTAATCTTGGCTAAACAACATTCATTAGGCTACCTACTCACACTTACGTGAGTGTTGTTTACGTATTTGTATGTGTGTTCACATAATTGTATGCACATGTGCTATTGTATGTACACTATTCCTTTTTTATTACCTCAGTAATTTTTTTTTATCAGCTCCAGGACCATCATCATCGGGGGAATCATCAACCTCCTGGTCCAACTTTTGAAAGAATTCATGCTGTTCAAAAAGAGTGATCACATTATTCAAAATCACGTGTCAACACAATACCTTCCTTTATATTAATGTAGGTTACTGAAATATAACTATATTCCTAGCAAGTGAGATACATTCTCATTTAATCAACACAAAATATCATTTATTAAAAGAAAAAGAGTAGAAGGAACAGAAGTATTTTACAGAGAATGTATATCTTTCCTGTGGTAATAAACAAATTGAGTCAAGGACCATATTACAATCGTTATAAAGGACTTGGTAGTCAGGGGGTTAGATAGCTGATTTCGGTTTCATGGTCCATTGTCAGAGCAGTGGCAACAGCAACATTTTTAGGAATACTTTTCGTATGACTAATGATTTTCATGGTTTTTGATAACAAAGTGAATGTGAAGATATTCATAAACAGTTTTACGACTTTAACTTTCACAATTCTTACCAACTGCCACAAAAGTATCGTCAAAACTGAAAGGGCCACATGTCACTTCACTGGTAAGTGTGTAAACAAATGACAAAATAATTTTCGGCAGCATTTCAGAGAACGAGGTGTCAGAGGAACATAAGCTATGAATGGGTCACTGATGTCGGTCAACTCCTGACATAATATGGGAATAATTATTGATGGCTTTGGACCAAATACATATATCTGTATATAACACAGTTCACTATTTGGTAACTTAAAAACATGCAAAAACTCAAATGAAGTATAATGCATTTAAAACTCACACTTCTTGATGTTGTTGCACCTTCCAAAACAAATGACGAAGCGCTCCCACGCACACGTTTTAATTCACCCACATACTCCATAGCCTTGAGACAAATCAAAACAACACTATATGATGGGGTGCATTAAGTTGCAATAGACTGTGTTTCGCCAGGAAGTGACTAGCTGATTTGGTTCATAACTCAACCATTATAAATCTGCTTTTTTTTCTAATAGTTAATGAAGTATGGCAGTGGTAATCAAGGAGGTCCACATCCTTCTGTTTCATGTACTGTTTATCATTTCTGTTACAGATGTTCTCCTAATGCCCTGATGTCAGACTGTCTTAACATCTTCTCTGTCAATTGCTCTTTCTCTCTCTCCTTTTCTCCATTATTACAAAATATAAGAACTGAAAATGTCTCTTTTTGATGCAAGTAATCAGTTATCTTTGTGCACTAATTATTTCAAAGACTTTTTCATTACACTTTAAACTCTTCATGGTATTATTAAAGTGAAGAACTTTCTATGCCTTTAGACATACTGGGCATTTATATATATGTGTGTGTGTGTATTTATATATATATATAGAGAGAGCGAGAGAGAGAGAGAGAGAGAGAGAGAGAGAGAGAGAGAAAGATAAGAGGTTGTTATGATGAGGCAAGATGAGGGGGGGGGGGGGGTCTTGCTAAAACCCAAGAGGGGTTTGGGAGTCTTGCTATATACTCAAGGAAAGTGATAAAAGCTGTAGACCACTGCTTTAAATTCACTGTTTCATGCCACTAGTAAGGTCTTTAAGATCAACAGACCACTGCTTTAAATGCACTGTTTCATGCCACTAGTAAGCTCTTTAAGATCAATAGACCACTGCTTTAAATGCACTGTTTCATGCCACTAGTAAGGTCTTAAAGATCAATAGACCACTGCTTTAAATGCACTGTTTCATGCCACTAGTAAGCTCTTTAAGATCAATAGACCACTGCTTTAAATGCACTGTTTCATGCCACTAGTAAGGTCTTAAAGATCAATAGACCACTGCTTTAAATGCACTGTTTCATGCCACCAGTAAGGTCTTAAAGATCAATAGACCACTGCTTTAAATGCACTGTTTCATGCCACTAGTAAGGTCTTAAAGATCAACAGACCACTGCTTTAAATGCACTGTTTCATGCCACCAGTAAGGTCTTAAAGATCAATAAACCACTGCTTTAAATGCACTGTTTCATGCCACTAGTAAGCTCTTTAAGATCAATAGACCACTGCTTTAAATGCACTCATGCCACTAGTAAGGTCTTTAAGATCAACAGACCACTGCTTTAAATGCACTGTTTCATGCCACTAGTAAGGTCTTTAAGATCAACAGACCACTGCTTTAAATGCACTGTTTCATGCCACTAGTAAGGTCTTAAAGATCAATAGACCACTGCTTTAAATGCACTGTTTCATGCCACTAGTAAGGTCTTAAAGATCAACAGACCACTGCTTTAAATGCACTGTTTCATGCCACTAGTAAGCTCTTTAAGATCAATAGACCACATCTTTAAATGCACTGTTTCATGCCACTAGTAAGGTCTTAAAGATCAACAGACCACTGCTTTAAATGCACTGTTTCATGCCACTAGTAAGGTCTTAAAGATCAACAGACCACTGCTTTAAATGCACTGTTTCATGCCACTAGTAAGGTCTTAAAGATCAATAGACCACTGCTTTAAATGCACTGTTTCATGCCACTAGTAAGGTCTTAAAGATCAATAGACCACTGCTTTAAATGCACTGTTTCATGCCACTAGTAAGGTCTTAAAGATCAACAGACCACTGCTTTAAATGCACTGTTTCATGCCACTAGTAAGGTCTTAAAGATCAACAGACCACTGCTTTAAATGCACTGTTTCATGCCACTAGTAAGGTCTTAAAGATCAACAGACCACTGCTTTAAATGCACTGTTTCATGCCACTAGTAAGGTCTTAAAGATCAACAGACCACTGCTTTAAATGCACTGTTTCATGCCACTAGTAAGGTCTTAAAGATCAACAGACCACTGCTTTAAATGCACTGTTTCATGCCACTAGTAAGGTCTTAAAGATCAACAGACCACTGCTTTAAATGCACTGTTTCATGCCACTAGTAAGGTCTTAAAGATCAACAGACCACTGCTTTAAATGCACTGTTTCATGCCACTAGTAAGGTCTTAAAGATCAACAGACCACTGCTTTAAATGCACTGTTTCATGCCACTAGTAAGGTCTTAAAGATCAACAGACCACTGCTTTAAATGCACTGTTTCATGCCACTAGTAAGATCTTAAAGATCAACAGACCACTGCTTTAAATGCACTGTTTCATGCCACTAGTAAGGTCTTAAAGATCAACAGACCACTGCTTTAAATGCACTCATGCCACTAGTAAGGTCTTAAAGATCAATCGGCACTCAGTGTCGGCAAATTGACCTTCTGAGGACTTTGACCTGGTACCCATTTATAAGGCTGGAGGATCAACAGCTGAGCCCAGGTCCCAAAAAAAAAAAAAAACCATAAAAAAAAAAAATAGGCTCCGTTTGGATGCAACTCCTGACCTTCAGATTAGCAGGCATCTAGCCCCTACACCATGGTAATGGTATTTTTCTTCTATAAAACTACATCTTCATAGCTCCCACATGTTTTACTAATCTGCTGACTGTCCATGATTTACCTCCATACATCAGAAATGGCACTATACAGCCCTTAGGAACTCACACTGTTACCTCAGTAAGTAAGTATAGACAGATCGCATAGACAAGTTCAACTGTAACATTATACACTATAAACTAGCATCGTCAGTCATCTGTGAAAGAACCTTTAAATCAGTGGTCTCCGACTCGGGGAAAAGGGGGGGGGGGGGTGTAAGGAGGTTTTTAAATTGATTATATTTGTACTTGTCAAAATCACGTTCCTAAAATTTTGTTCAGTTTAATTATAAACATTTAAAAACAACTATTCATAAAACAAAAAGCCAAGGATTTTTTCTTGAGCAGTTTGCACATGTACCAATAAAAAATATAACATGGTAGCCTGTGCATTTAATTAATTTAATTACACATCAAGAAAACTGTCTGACTGAAACGTATCTGCATACTGTCTCACTTGTTGCTGAATCTATTGTCCTCCTCTTTTTAATCACAATTACTATGACTGGGTGGGGGAGTGGGGGGTCTTTCCATATATTCAAGGGGGGGATGGTGGGGGAAGGTCTTGCCATATACTCAAGAAGGCATGGGTGTCTTCCCTCATACTCAAAGGAGCTTGGGGGTTGTGACGTGCGGAGCTTCATTGATTGTGACGAGTGTAAAGTGACTAGGGGTGTCGCAATGTAACAATTGGCATCAACACTTAACATGCCACTGGCCAAGAATAACACAACATAATGAATGCTGAAGCTTCCAACGTAGCGGAACGAAAACTCTCTTTAAAAGTTCCATTTGTGTATTGACAATAACGATGATCAACACAAGAAGAATACATATGTAAGTTATAATCAACTCGTTCAACCAAAGCTCGCTCGTACATCCATGTATTGATATGTCCTCACGATAGGTCGCAGTCCGACCTTGAGATCCAGACGATTATCTTTGTCCTCGGACAAGTCCGAATTAAGCAATGAAAGTATACCGGCTTGCTGCCGAGAATGTAGTGCTCACCAGCTTCCTGCTGAGGTCTATCTTGGAATCCCGGGGTAAAACGTCCTCAAGGATCCAACTTCATATAACGTTTGCTTCCGTGGGATCCCGGGGTAAAGCGTCCTCAAGGATCCACACGTCCGTCTCCTTAGGACTATAAACATCGACTGCCTTTGACAACATTACCTTCACAACGTTACGTATTGTTTTGACGTCTTATTTGCTCACTCCGTACTGGTGCGTTCTGGTGCACATTCGCACGCGACAGGGGTCTTGCCATATACTCAAGCATGCATGGGGGTCTTGCCAAATACTCAAAGGGCAACTTAAGGATAAAAAGAATTATTTTACCTTTGCCCTCTCTATGGGACTAGAACTTTGCCCATTGTACTGGTAAATTTTGAGACCTAGGTCAAGGATGTAAACATCACCTTCAGAGATGAGAGAAGCAGCCTGTGGAATCTGAAAATGAAATGATCTTTAAATAAAATTTAAGTTGGCATAATTTTATTGTAATAGCTGTGTCAAAAACCAATTAAATATGGAAAATACAAAACATGTCTGCTGGGATACGCTGAATACCTCTAGGGTGCTCGTTGCTTTCAGCTTCACTACTAACCATAGCAACAAAACAGGTTGCTAAAGGCTGAAGTTGTAGTTTAACTCTTTGAGTCCCAGAGGGTTCAGCATCACAAGCCCAAGGGGTAGTCAAGAGAGACGTAAAATCGGTGCATCATGCGTGCGTTCTATGAACGTATGGCTTTCCTAGGCAAAGAGTAAAGACATGCAGTTATTGAACATATGATGCATTTCCTGGAACTCAAAGAGTTAAAGACATGCAGTTATTGAAAGCAACATCTATTCTAACAAAAAAAAAATTATGATTACATTTGTGACACTCATGGAAATGCAAGAAGTAGGGAAACTGGCAAAGGGCTGGGAATAGTTATTAATGTTCCCAGATAAATTTATGATTAGCAAAGTCATGCAATATCAATTGTTGGTTTTTCTGCATTTCCCTACATGGATTCCTAGACCCCACTGAGGGGAAAATAAGTACAGACCCACTGACTCCCCAGCAATTTGTAGTAGGAGGAGTAATAGGGGCATCTTTTGAAGTGGGAGTACATCTGCCTGACAGGCAAGGAACCATGAGGCTGCATACAAATAAGCCAAATCTGTGGAATGGATGCTCATGCACCACACAGGTTTTGGAGCAAAACTAAAGTCAGGAGGCAGACGGACACCCAGAACTGCCTGCCTGAGCTTTTTTACAGTCAGTGAACACAAAAAAAGAAGTATTTTCATCATTGATATTATACTCCAATATCTCCAACATTGTCTACTCTGTACTTTCAAAGGGTGCACTAATAATGGCTGGTCCCAGTCCATCTCCTGATGCTGTCTACCACATACAACTTGTTCTTTTGCATCCACTCCACTGTTTTCTATAGCACACCCTTGAACACCTAGTATACCAGCCACCAGTTGAAGTTGCTGAAACATGGACCAGAATGCAAAAAGGACAATTCTACTTAGAGTGAGTGGCTCTTTAGCTGAAATTTTTTACATATGTTGTGTTTGGCTCCTATCTAATTCCAGTGACTTGAGTCACTTTTAGTAAATCTGCATGTTGTAATTTGACGGAGTTGTCAGTGATAAACTGAACTGAAACCAAAAGCTTCAAATGACTATTACCAATCAAAACTTGAAATCTACTGCGATTAATGAATGAGCTTGTGAAAATTTATTTTAGCATTTATAGAGTTTTAAAATGTCTCTTTCTTTCACCAAAAATTGTTCTTTCCATCTGATCTTGATGTTTTCAACATTTTTAAAATTCCAATTTGTTTGTAATAATTTGTTTGAAGGAATGTATAAATGAATGAATGAATAAATTAACTATTGAAGAAAGAAGTAACATAACTGCACTCAGGACTTCCCACACATGCTAGATCCCCTTCTTCTGTAGCCAACGAAGAGTCGATTTGCTAATAGTATTAGTCGCTACCTGATTACAAGTCTGTCTATGTTTCCCCCTCAGTTGAATGTCTTTCTAAACCCTCACCCAACCCCCAACCCCCACGCATGCTGAATTAGTCTTTAAATGTATGGATTGTACTGTCTTTTTGACCACGTCTGCTTAATCATAAAGTAGTTCACCGCAAAGAGGAGCAGCAGTAGCTAATCTATCAGCCTGCTATTATCCACGCACCTCAAATGCCTGGACAGAAAATCAATGATATGCTCCTGATCTGAGTATTATCAAGTGATGCAAACACACAATAAGTTTCTGGGCTAGTTTAGCACTCAGGGGCTCTTAGTTCTCACAGAGTGCTGAGCAAAATTTCAGTTTAAAAAAAAGGCAGGAAAATGGGCCATTACACTATTGACTATTTACATAGTACAGACTGTAGCTGCAATGATTTCAATGTAGCTCAGCCACAGTACAGTACTGTTTCTTTGTTTGGAGCACTTTCCTTCTTGTTACACCATAAATACGGTGGCAATGGGACATTGTCTGTGTAAACTCACCAGAATCGCTAGATTCTGAACAGGTGATGGCTCAGTCTCGCTTGTGAAAATTCACCGTCCGCATCACTTTCAGAAAAATCTAAATTTTTATTATCATTATCAGAATTAAAAACATCTGACCGAAATAATTTCAGAGCTTCGGCCGACGAAAGACGCATTCTGCGACCTGTACTTATGGTTGGAACATTGGTATTCATGGCACTCAAAAGCCAACTTAGAAAATGCACTGCAGAAAAAAAAATGTAGCTATGAATCCGATCAATCTGCGCACGTGTGGCTTTAGATAAAGATGTTGCTAAAAGGAAATAATTTAGAGTGACTTTCCCTGAATACTTTAATCATAGTTCCCAACATTAGAAATATGTATGAGACACACGATCGACGATGACAGCTTTGTTTGGGCAAATTAGAACTTCTCAATCAATGCTCAAACCGTTGGTCAGGCCTTAAAGAGTTAAAGGGAATTCTTTGTTGTTCATATTTCCTGCAATATAGAAAATAATGTTTCTGACTGTCATAACAGTGCCTTAAGTTACAGTCATATAAACCACTCTAAGTTGCAGTCTCAGTAATTTTTTTATTATTGGTTATTGGAAATTTTCTAGCAGCAGTTTTTAACAATTTGGATGTTAGGCCTTCTCTTCAAGCTTTCATTCCCCATCCCTATCTATTATTATTTTATATTTACTCAAGTAAATACGGAAATTAAAGAATGTGCAAAATAAAAATGGAACCAGATTAGCTTGCAAATGTATTGTCCCAACATAGTATCATCAAAATGCTCAAAAGTACAAGTGCAGCTCTAATTAATGTCATAGGAAAAAAGCTGTATCCTTAACAAGACAGAACTAACCCCAGCCATGGATTGTATAGGCAAATTTACATTCAGTAGTTTACCACTCTCGATCCACGCCAACGGAAGACAGACTGCTGCCAAATCGCCTGCAACTGAGATCGATCCCGGCAGCCTGCATTATTTGCAGCGCTTTAGAAATAACGCCGGTGTAAGAGAGAAGACAAACTTAATTCTAGTGCAACATTAAACCTGTGCAATATATATATATATATATATATATACATATATATATATATATATATATATATATATATATATATATATATATATATATATATATATATATATATATATATTAGAACTTTTCATCCAATACAGACATCATAGCATTTGGCACATGCTCAAATATGCGCCCATCTTCTTGAAAATATGTCAAAGAAATGATAAATCAAAGTTCCAGTATAGAGTTGATTTTGTATGCACTTTATTCTCTGTTTCATGCCTTCTTCCTCATAGTTCACAATAAGAAAACTGAATTTTCTGCTTCTTGCTGAAACAAATTTACATATGAGCACGCTTAATATTTAAAGGGGCAGAATAATGTTCTTACCTCTTTGACAATAACATTGCCAGTTTTATCTCGACCAAAATGGAACAATCTACCTTGATATTGCTCAGGAGGAACATGTCTGAATCCAGTGGCACACCCTCCCTCCATAAGGCTAAAATAGTGTGGAAAAAAAAAAAAATGCAACAAATGCTGGACATAGAAAATGGAGAAATTATTTGCATGCCAAAAACAAACAAAAAAGCCAGAAAATGAAAAGTACTACACTAACAAAACAGAAGTGTTTGAAATAGTTATAAGTATAGTTCTCTATTTCTATATCTACAGACATGAGTACTTTAAAATTCACAATGATGGAGCCATGATAGCATAGTGGCTAGACCAGTGGTCTTCAACCTAAAGACGCCCCCCCACTTCCCCTCAGCATGAGAAAATTTCAAGGGGGGTTAATACATTTTGAAACTAAGCGCGTGTGTACTTGTAATAATCAGAATTTTCAGTTTTTAACCGTCACGAGAACAGAACAGCCCTGCCGGCTTCAAGTGGACAGTGATATCCGATGGGTCTTGTCCAGCAGCAGATAAAGAATAGCATTATCATCAAGACACAACAGTGTCAACCATTGTCAACGGATATTTGGATATTAAATTACCAGTTGCTGCTAAATCTTTTGTTATTTGACACTACTTGGGATTTTTTTGGAGAGGTCTTTTTAATCAAATTTTGTTGTGTGTGTGTGCATGCCATGTGTGGGTGTGTGTGTGGGGGGTCTTGCAATATAGTCAAAAGTTAGGGGGGGGGGGTAATGCAATATTGTCTGGAGGGGGTAGGCATTTTAGGTCTTGCCGTATAATCAAGGGGCACGCACATGCGTGCGTGCGTGCGTGTGTGTGTGGGTGGGGGGGGGGGGGGGGGTTGGGTTGGTCCTCTCAACTGTTCTATCCAATATCAGCATCTTTTCTTTACCTCTTGATTCACTGGAATGTTTTTATTTCTTTCCGAAAGCTCCCTGCTAGTGATTCCTTCATACCAATTCCTCTTTCTTTTTCTTCCCTGTCTGTCCAAATGATGTAAACACATTGTGCTTGTTTACAGCAAAGCTGTGATATTTGCGCCTTTCGACCAACACATCTGATTTATTTTCCGGATTTGCCTTTCGGTATCATACTATTTAATCTCCTTCATTCTACACAGAGAAACTTTAATAAACGTCTGAGTTTAGTATAAACTGTTTTGTTATTCTCCATGTTACATTTTCATCAACAGCACTGGTTTGGCATTAGAACAAAATGTTTTAACTAGCTCTAGATTTATTTTCCTCTGACCTTCCCAGATTTCCTACTGCTATGAAAACTGTGTTGTGATCTCTCACCAAGTATGTTGAATTTATTTTGCATCTTATTTCAAAAGGGGGATAGGAGAGAAATATCACCGGTGAAAGTGATATCATCAAGCCGTTCTGTCAGGGTCCACTGATTTCCATATGTGGTAGTAGTTGCTGGTGTCTTCATAATCCAGTCTACTGCCAGTAGAAAGAGCAGAGGTGACAAAAGACATTCCTGTCACACTCCTGTTCTTTTCTTTTTCTTAATCTGCTGAGTAAACTGCAAGAGCTGACATCATGGCACTCAGTACATTCTCTAAGCAGTCCATCCTCATCTTCAGCAGCCAACACAGAGGTCACTCCTTCTCTTCAGACAGTGAAGATGTGTGTGTGTGTGCCTCTACACTGTTCACGCACTCCCAAAGAACCTTTGCAGCATCTTGCTTGTCGCACATCAATTAGTACCAACAAGCAGTACACAACCAGCCAGTGTGTCGTCTATTCATTTTCCAGTAGCTACATGCATGGAAGTAAACATCAAAAGGATTACCCAAGGAACTCTGAGGTGATGCTTGCCACTCTGCATGATGAATATTTATCTCTACATTCTTTGTGACTCACTCACAATCATGACATGAGTGTGCAGCTGTTTCTCAAGCCAGTGAAATGCTGCAGTGACTGCGTTCATCTTCATTTTCAAACTAGATAATCTGATATTATTTGCCTGACTTTGTTGCACTAATGGTCGTCCACTTGCTGTTGCCACATGCACTCCCAGATAATCACATCACCTGCTCAGAAACTGTCCCGAATCAGTTGAACTTCAGACTCTACAGTGCCTGATGGCCAGTCCTTGCATTCCCTGCCCAATGTGATAGAACCCTACTGTTGTGTGTGAAAGTCAAAGTGAGGTATAAAGAGTTAATGAAGCCAGGGTTTTAAGAAGCAGGAGTACACATGGGTACTGATGTTGTGTTGATGGGTTGTGAATGTAAACATCTGGGGAACTGGAAGAGTGTGGAGCATGAGCCATTGGGGAAACATGAGTTGCTTGAAAATCATGATGGGCTTGCGGAAATCACAGATATTGCCGGATCCGTGTGGGTCGACAGCACAGGTGGATTTTGAACCCAGAGTACATGTTGAGAAAGTTAGATCCACTCTGTATTGACCGCAGGTGTGAAAACTCCTGTGGTATTTTGAGTTCAGTCAATCGCTTTCAGTTGGTTTAAGTGTATGGACATGTGCATGAATTACTGGTGACGGTTTTGACAATGTTTTGTTCTGTGGAGCTCGAATGAACTGTCCGGATGACTGTTGTGGATCATGAGCCGGACTTCATTATTCTGTCAAAGTGATTTTCTAGATTGGACGGTTGTGTGGCACATGTGAGTTGTGGGGGAGGTCTATGTGGCACGCTAGTTAACAGGGTGTCCTTAAGTGCTACAGAAGTTGCTGCGGTAACTTTGTGTGTCTTTCCAGCGTGGAGTTCTGATAGGGAGGTATCAGGAAGCTGGTTAACTGGATGCTGGTCAGTGATACTTCAATGAGTGACCAGGTAGCTAATGGATCTTGCACTGGCTGCTGAAGATGAGGATGGAGCATGCATGGGAAGGCCCCGATCGCAGTTATGTCAATTCTTGACTCAACTCAACCCACAAGAAACAGTGATGGACAATATGTGTGGTTTTCGCTGGCATAGGAAACAGAGCAATTATCACGTGACCCATTTGCTATAAGTTGGAGCTGCAATTTTCTAATTAGACCCATTATATGCCAAGTTGTCCTATTATTTGCTATCATGGGCAGCTCTTGCCATGTCCTCATCATTTTTTGTTTAAACTTTATAATCTAGCTCCCTTCTCCATGTGCTTTTGGTCTGCCTTTATTTCTATGCCCCTGTTGGATCCAGCACAAAATAATCTAGGATACCATTATTCTGTCTCAGGAATCCAGTCAATATGGTGGTTAGGCAGGTTTACTGTTCTTTGTCATGACAAGTTTCTGCTTCTGAAAGTAGTTAGTCATTACATTTGCCTCCATTTGTAGACAAAGGATATATTTAGTTCAATCATACAGCTGCTGTTGAGTACACAGTGTGACAATGACAGCTGCAGATTTCATTTATGCTTTTTTGACTGTGCCCAATGTGGTCGGTGAAATGCAATTAGAAAATGGCGAGAGGCTAATGGCGTCTTATGTGATTAACTTGGTGTACAACTACAGATCTTTTGATAACTGTTGCTTCCATAGACACAGAATTGTACCGTTAGTGCCAGACTGCTGCTATTTCTGGTGTCTGTCCTGTACATTTAATGTCTGTGTGTACGCTATGGTGTCAGCTCTGTGGCTAAGTCGATGCCAATGCTTCACAATGCCAGGTTGCTGGGTTCGATCCCAGCTGCGGGCCTTGCGCCTCGCTTTGGTTTCGACAGTGGTATCAAGAAAGCCGACCATCCAGAAAGCAATAGCAAACTACTGGACGTAAATTTGCCTAGAAAAACCACACAACAGCCAGGGGCTGTTGGGGCTGGTTCTGCAAAGTCCTGTAAAAGCTACGCAACTAACCTTCTACGCTATGGTTTTGCCGAGACTGCAGTCTGTATTAATTTTTCTCCCACAAGGGACAGTAATGGGCCTTCTGTGTGGTTTTCGTTGGCACAGGAGTGGATAAAATCTGAGGGGACCCATTTGCTATAAAGCTGGAACTCTAGTTATCATATTACCGGTATTCGAATATATTAACACCTCATATACTTCACATATATTCACATACAAATTACAACTTTTTGTAATTTCCTTGAGACAAAAATACTTACGTAATGCCTTGAGGAAAGTACGACTTAAAAAGGTCACTCTCATAATCTTGAACTTCTCGATGTTGTACAGGGACATCATCCAAATATGTGTCAAGCTCTACAGTTTTATACGCCGCAGTGCCATATTCATCCTACAACAAATGAAGGATGGTCAGGTCAGACACTGATAAGGCAGTCAAGACAATGTTCGGTTTACATGTGCTTTATTCTCTATTAAAGACAACCATATTTTGCATTTATTTATATATACAAATAATACATTCTAACACTTTAACTCATTCCTCATTTTAAGCAGAGAAAGTAATCAAATCTTTCACAGAGACATGACTGTGTATCTTTATCTTCGTATTGCCATGTTGTGTTAGTTGTCATGTCTATCCACAACCTTCTGTCTCAAGTACTTTCAAAGAACCTGACATGATCCTCCATACCATGATGTCAAACTGTTTAGCATCTTCTCTCTCAGTCTCCCTCTGCCTCTCTTCTCCTCCATCTTTCACACTGTCATGATGTACTCCAGTTTTGTCCTTTTCATGACATGACCAAAGAATGTAGATTGTCTCCTGCTGATGTTCTCTTAGTGAGGCTTTCAAGACGCCTTCATTACTATTTTTATCTGTCCAGAGTATTCTCATCATTCGTCTTTAAACCACATCTCTGCACCTTCCAATCAATTTTTCACCAATCGACCAACCGTATTTAAGGATTAGGATTTATAGAGCTTTAGAGAATTCTCTTTCTCATCTTGTGACAAAGAAAGATTGCATAGAATATTCTTCAATTTGTAAAATGCTGCCTTTGCTTGAGCTATTCTACATTAAACTTCTTTCACACATCTTTCATCGGATCTTATTATGGCACCTAAGTAATTAGATGTATCAAATTCCCTGAGAATTGTCCCATTTATTTTGATTTTGCGTTTTGGAGGATCCATTTTCTGTGTAATTACCATTACTTCTGCTTTTTGCTATTCAAACTAAAACCCTTGTTTTGACTTTGTTACAATTACATCTATCATTTCTTGCAGTCGTGTTTAATTTTTAGTGAGTTCTTAATAATATGCCCATTAACTGATATTCCTGGCATATATTTATTATTTCACTGTACGAATTGAATAAATTGGGCTATAGTAAACATCCCTCCCTATATCGTCAATGTTTTGAAAAGTTTTTTGTTGTTTGTTTTATTCTCAGATCTTTACCATCAATGTTTGAGGTTTCAAAAATTCTAATAATTTCTTTATTTTGCACTTTATCAAATGCTTCTGTGTAATCAATAAAACACAAATACAGATCTTTGTTTATTCAATCATTCTTTCTGAAAGCGTTCTCAAGATAAACATGGCGTTGTTTGTGCCTCTACCTTTGACAAAACCACACTGTTCTTCTCCAATTTCTGGTATACTTTTGCACCTTATTCTTCTCAATAATATTTTAGTCATGACATTTATGTGCAAAATACTCACATTAGGGTAAGAGTGCAGTGCCCAAATTGGGCAGGTTGTCCTAGCCATTGTGCCTACAGAGTCATCCTCTGTCTAGCACAGTTTAAGTGGTGAAAACTTTTCAGCTGCTTCCCACTTTTATCTATCACCTGCCTGCCATGATATCATGTAGCCCTGATCAGGAGTGCTAAGGAGGTACTCTCTCCTTGCCCATGAGGAATCCTGCAAGCTATCGGAGGTAAGGAGGCACATTACATCTCCTGCTGGTAGGGTTTACTCTACCATTCTCCCCACCACCCCATTAGTGTGTATCATCATCATGTAGCAGGTCCTTAGCAGAATGTTGCTCTCATCACGGTCTGTCTGAAAGAAACTCGGTCTCTCGCCAGCTCTCATCCCTTATGTTATTTCATATTCAAGGAGTCATTTATATCCTGTACCCATCTTCGTGTTGGTCGGCTCTTGCCCCGTCTTCCTGACACCATGCCTTCTGCTATTATTTTTTCCAATCGGCCATGGCGCTTGATGTGACCAAAATATTTCAGCTTCTGGGACAAGATGCTGTTTATTAGCCAGTCTTCCTTGATGTTCAGATCTTTTAAAATGTCAGTATTTCTTTTCTTCTTTGTCCATGATATTCTGAGAATCTTTCTACAGCATTTCAGCTCAAAAGCCTCTTTTTTCTTTCTTAAAGACTGGGAGATTGTCCACAACTCACATCCGTATACTACAACAGGGAAGAGACATGCTCTCAAAACTTTTTAAAATTTCCTTGCTGGTCCTTAACCACAGACATTTAATGTCATTTAATCTTTGCATTGCTATGGCAATCCTCATTTAGATTTCTGTCAGTCTTAATTGCTATTTATTACAGAGCCTTGATATTCAAAGTTTGTGAAATTTTCAATTTCTTCATCGTTTATTGTTATTTTTGGGTGACAGCCAGTTTTGTCAGTGGACATTATTTTCATTTTATTTATATTCAAGAATAGGTTTTGATCTTTACTGTGTTTTTGTACAGACATGATTACATTTTCTATTCCCTTTACATTGTTCGAAATGAGGACTGTGTCATCTGCCTAGTGAAGTTCCAGGAGAGGGTTGCTACCAGTTATGTGCTGTTTGTTACTGTCACAAGTCTGGTAATTTTTTACATTTCTCATTATATTTTCTGCATAAATATTGAATAGCTATGGTGATAGAATGCATTCCGGCTTTTTTCAGAATGGATGTTAAAAAGCAACAACTTGCCTGACTGCTGTACTTTCCAATCCAAAAGTGAACATCATGACAAAGACTTTGACTAGTACCCTCTTTGTAGGTCTGCAAATGTTAACAACTGCACTTAGGAAAATCAATTACATGTCTTATACTTGTCAAAAGAGGCTTCATTCCTTTATTATAAAGGCAACCTACAAAAAACATCAAACAAAAAATGGAAGCTTTACATCACTGACTACAGAAAAGCAGTTCATCATCAGCCTAATAATTTTGTGTTCCCTTTTTCATTTGACACTCCTGGCTCCCACTTGCCTTCTACGCCTTCATCTCACCCCATTTTCTCATCTATTCCTCTTCACCTTCTCTTCATTGCCAGCTGAAGATGATCACAAGCGCAGAGCATGCACTCTATAGCTCTGGCAATGATCTTTTATTTGTAGGTACAACATCGATAGGAACATTTCTTTCAATGCAATAAATGCCCACCCTAGTAGTGCCTGCTTTCTATGGAATAGGCAGGGGATGTCATAAAGGAGTCCATAAGCTGGGTGTTGCTCTTCACACTGATAAAACAGCCCATTATGAGAATGCATACCCCATAGTCATTCAGCCAATCTGCAAGTAGGTCCACTGTAGACTTTTGTTTTGTTTCTAGAAAAGGCTGTCTCTTCTAGAAAAATTTTGTTTTGTTCCTTTTCAGTCACTCATAATTGTGTTGTCTGAAGAGCTGTTTTCCAATTCAAGGAACGTACTACCTCGCAGACTCCCAAATGCGCGGGGGTGGGAGGGGGGGGGGAGGGGCAGTGGGTGAGCTGCACACAGTAGCAAAGAATAGAACAACTTCGGATGTGAGTTGGTTGAAGGCCTATGTTCCAATAAATGATACAAAGTAGATAAAAGGGAAAAGGGTAGGTAATCCACTCTTCTACAAGACTTCAAACACAGGTAAAAACATGACATTTTTTCAAGACACTAAGTAGGACCACCAAAGTAATATCTCAATAAAACTATTAAAATGTAAGAGTAACTTAAAAGAAATATCCAGTAAATAACAACTCTACATGACAATGTTGGATACCAACAAAGTTATATTTTCAAAAATGCTTGCACATACTTGGATATAGATTGGTAGAAGGGTTAAAGACCTAGCAAAGATGGATTGATATTCTAGATCATCTTATGCAGAAATCTTCAGCAATGCTTCAAATCTTTAAAGATAACCAAACAAACTAACACAAAAAAGTAACAGGTGCCAGTTGAAAGGACAAATACTGTAGTTCTGCTGTCAACAAACACATTGTTTTTGTTGTCATCATCAATCCAGCAGCGCATGAGCATTTGCCCTTTGACCCAAAGCCATTCAGCACTATATAATCATCATCATCATGTAGCAGGTCCTTTGCAGAATGTCGCTCTCATCACAGTCTGCCTGAAAGAAACTTGGTCTCTCGCCAGTTCTCCTGCCTCATATACCTTCATACTCAAGGAGTCACTGATATCCTGTGTCCATCTTCGTGTCGGCCGGCCCCTGCCCCTCTTTCCTGGTACCATGCTTTCTGCTATAGTTTTTTCCAATCTGTTGTGGCGCTTGATATGACCAAAATATTTCAGCTTCCGAGAAAGGATACTGTTTATTAGCCAATCTTCCTTGATGTTCAGATCTTTTAAGATGTCAATATTTCTCCTCTTCTTTGTCCAAGATATGCACTATATAATACATGTTTTTTTTAAATGCACTATATAATACGTTAAAAAAAATATTGAGTGAATGAAGAAGAAACATAAGAAGTGAAGACATAAAAAGACCTACAAAAATAAGAACAAAAGACATACCAATTAGGAAGGTGCTTGCTCAGTTACAAAAGAGTCCCTTTTAAAATATTACAAAGCCAATTGCCATGTCATTCTAACCAAAATATGTCAGCACTTCTTAATAAAAATAAATAAAGTTCTCAATGAAAAATATATTAATAAAAAAAAACAATAAAATAAACAAAACACTCCTTCCTACATTCAAAACGATGTATGAATCTCCATTGTAGAACTCGCCATAATCCTCTTTAGGCCAGTCTTTCACTTCAAATTTCTGTTTAAAATAAAAGACAATATTAGATCTACACACAAGTATGTGACACTCAAAATGAACTCTTTCCACATATGCATGTATGTAATGTTTGTTTTACTATAATAAGAAACAGAGTTTCTATCCAGTCAGCTCCCACATCTCCTCCACACAACAGCTGACACCGAGTTGATGACAGCTTCCCGTTTAATAGTCACAACATATAAGCTATGAGAGCCTGCCCTCCAGTCTAACAAACAGCCTAGTACCAATTTACAGCATAACACTTACCTCACACATCCAGGTTCCACTTATCCACACTTCCGATCATATGACCAAACCTTCAATGTCCATGATTGACAGTTACAGGACCGCAATCAGTACTCAGTAGGACACATTAGTATTGCCTTTCTCTCAGCCTTCATCCAGTGCAGCTTTCAATACAGACGATTAGCTTTCACACCTTTCAGCTCTGGGGCCCTGTCACAGAATGAATCTCTATTGGCTATTCACCCAGTTATCCTGTGCTCCCAAGTCCACTCACACATTCATGAGTTTTCACCCTGTGTTCCCAAGTCCACTCACACATTCATGAGTTTTCACCCTGTGTTCCCAAGTCCACTCACACATTCATGAGTTTTTATCCTGTGTTCCCAAGTCCACTCACACATTCATGAGTTTTTACTCTGTGTTCCCAAGTCCACTCACACATTCATGAGTTTTTACTCTGTGCTCCCAAGTCCACTCACACATTCATGATTTTTTACTCTGTGTTCCCAAGTCCACTCACACATTCATGAGTTTTTACTCTGTGCTCCCAAGTCCACTCACACATTCATGAGTTTGTATCCTGTGTTCCCAAGTCCACTCACACATTCATGATTTTTTATCCTGTGCTCCCAAGTCCACTCACACATTCATGAGTTTGTATCCTGTGTTCCCAAGTCCACTCACACATTCATGATTTTTTACTCTGTGTTCCCAAGTCCACTCACACATTCATGAGTTTTTACTCTGTGCTCCCAAGTCCACTCACACATTCATGAGTTTGTATCCTGTGTTCCCAATTCCACTCACACATTCATGATTTTTTATCCTGTGCTCCCAAGTCCACTCACACATTCATGAGTTTTCACCCTGTGTTCCCAAGTCCACTCACACATTCATGAGTTTTCACCCTGTGTTCCCAAGTCCACTCACACATTCATGAGTTTTTACTCTGTGTTCCCAAGTCCACTCACACATTCATGAGTTTGTATCCTGTGCTCCCAAGTCCACTCACACATTTATGAGTTTTTACCCTGTGTTCCCAAGTCCACTCACACATTCATGAGTTTTCACCCTGTGTTCCCAAGTCCACTCACACATTCATGAGTTTTCACCCTGTGTTCCCAAGTCCACTCACACATTCATGAGTTTTTATCCTTTTCTCCCAAGACTTCCCCCTCACATAGATAATGATTACTATTTTATTATATTTGGTTTACACAATATTTGAAAACCATAATGAAGTCATTTTAGAAGTCAGTTCATGCTTGTGTTGTGTTTTGGATCTCCTCATCATTCTGCTGATGGAAAGCTAATCGTCACAGCGACCTCTGTTTTTTTTAACTGCTTCAGTGAGGCTGAAATATACTGGTTTTCCTATCTGTTTTTAGTGTTACAATACATAACATTTAATGTTAGTAAATGTTGTAGAGTACAGAATTCCCTTTTTTTTTCAGATAGTATTCTAGATTTTATTTCTTCACTTCAAATTTTCTCTCGCTTCCTAATTATATTGTTTAAGCAGTTCACACCTCACACTTTCCTATCCTGCCTGCAAGCTCCATGCTTTCGGCAAATATTCCTTTCATACACACAGCAGACTCTCTCCTAATTTACATAGTCACCTGATCTCATTATGCACTGGTTTGCTCCCATACTAGCCAATGATCACTTGTTGCTATATTTTACTCTCATACCACTAAATAAACATGTAGGTCAAGAGTTCCCTTGAACTACCCCAGAACAGCATACTGAAAATGTATGAATGGTGACCAATGAGCAAAAAAGATTTGATAATGTCCACAGGAGAAACAAATCAGTAAATATAAACATCACGTGGAATGTAGCTCAAGCAATATCTGTCTAGGCAGGTCTTCCTAATCTGATGTTGAACAGCATTAGAAGAAAAGCAAGCAGAAAATGAGATAATATGGCAGCTACTGAAGAAGTGTTGCAAATGTTAGGGCTCCACATACAGGTTAGAGAATTATGATCAATGGAGAGAAAAAACTGGGTGACCACCTACTTTCCTCACCCGTATCCTTACCAGAAATAAAAATGAAATTTGTTTTACCAATTTTATAAGATGCTATTACCATACAAAGCAGACAAAAATATTATTGGATCTAAAGATTAAAACAGCTGACAGTCTGGCAAATCATCAGAGAAAAAGTTTTCAATTATGAAAATACATTTTTTTAAATGAAACTAATAACCTCAATCCTCCAGATCCTAATACCAGGAGCTGAACCAGCCCCTTTCCAGGCAGGTTCTGTTAAAGCAGATGCCTCTGAAAAAAAAAAAAGACAAAATATTATTTTCAAATTATTTCTTTATTTTATTTCAAATTAAAAAAACATGTGGAAAGCCTCTTGTCTCACAGATGTATGATGAAAACATGTGGAAAGCCTCATGTCTCACAGATGTATGATGAAAACATGTGGAAAGCCTCATGTCTCACAGATGTATGATGAAAACATGTGGAAAGCCTCATGTCTCACAGATGTATGATGAAACCATGTGGAAAGCCTCATGTCTCACAGATGTATGATGAAAACATGTGGATAGCCTCATGTCTCACAGATGTGTGATGAAAACATGTGGAAAGCCTCATGTCTCACAGATGTTTGATGAAAACTTGTGGAAAGCCTCATGTCTCACAGATGTATGATGAAAACATGTGGAAAGCCTCATGTCTCACAGATATATGATGAAACCATGTGGAAAGCCTCATGTCTCACAAATGTATGATGAAAACATGTGGAAAGCCTCCTGTCTCACAGATGTATGATGAAAACATGTGGAAAGCCTCATGTCTCACAGATGTATGATGAAAACACGTGGAAAGCCTCATGTCTCACAGATGTATGATGAAAACATGTAGAAAGTCTCATGTCTCACAGATGTATGATGAAAACATGTGGAAAGCCTCATGTCTCACAGATGTATGATGAAAACATGTAGAAAGTCTCATGTCTCACAGATATATGATGAAAACATGTGGAAAGCCTCATGTCTCACAGATATATGATGAAAACATGTGGAAAGCCTCATGTCTCACAGATATATGATGAAACCATGTGGAAAGCCTCATGTCTCACAAATGTATGATGAAAACATGTGGAAAGCCTCCTGTCTCACAGATGTATGATGAAAACATGTGGAAAGCCTCATGTCTCACAGATGTATGATGAAAACATGTGGAAAGCCTCAGGTCTCACAGATGTACAGTTCAACCAGAATGATCAATACAGTTAACATATTTCCAGCTGAAATATACAGTAATCACAAGTCTCTTACTACATTCAAAGGTCACTTTCAGAAAATAAACGTATGTCATCTAGCTCTGTTTAAGCATAGTACTGTACATAAGAGACACACACTGTTGTGGCGATTGTTTAGGAATATGAGGTGTTAAGTTCATTAGATTATCAGTGCATTTAGTGCATAATGTCTGACGTTTGTTTTAAAGTAACTGATTATCCAAGTTCATGGGATTATGAGGGCAGGGACTTGAATGGCCGTGAATTTGGGAGAAACTGTGGGTGTTCAGGATGAACAGAAACTGTGTGGGTGTTCAGGATGAACAGAAACTGTGTGGGTGTTCAGGATGAACAGAAACTGTGGGTGTTCAGGATGAACAGAAACTGTGTGGAGTTCAGGATGAACAGAAACTGTGTGGAGTTCAGGATGAACAGAAACTGTGTGGGTGTTCAGGATGAACAGAAACTGTGTGGGTGTTCAGGATGAACAGAAACTGTGGGTGTTCAGGATGAACAGAAACTGTGTGGAGTTCAGGATGAACAGAAACTGTGGGTGTTCAGGATGAACAGAAACTGTGTGGAGTTCAGGATGAACAGAAACTGTGTGGAGTTCAGGATGAACAGAAACTGTGGGTGTTCAGGATGAACAGAAACTGTGTGGAGTTCAGGATGAACAGAAACTGTGGGTGTTCAGGATGAACAGAAATTGTGTGGAGTTCAGGATGAACAGAAACTGTGGGTGTTCAGGATGAACAGAAACTGTGGAGTTCAGGATGAACAGAAACTGTGTGGAGTTCAGGATGAACAGAAACTGTGTGGAGTTCAGGATGAACAGAAACTGTGGGTGTTCAGGATGAACAGAAACTGTGTGGAGTTCAGGATGAACAGAAACTGTGTGTTTTCAGGATGAACAGAAACTGTGGGTGTTCAGGATGAACAGACACTGTGTGGAGTTCAAGCTTTGTGTAAAGGGACTTGTTTGAGAGTAGTGAACATGTGTGTGGGAAATGAATTCAAAACAGTTTACCCCATGCAGTCATGGAGAATCAAGTCCACAGCTGGAGAGGAAGGAGTCCAGTCGAGAGTCCCAAGGAGATATGTTTCAGAGTGCACCACTGCTGAGCTCTGTTGACATGTGATTGTATCGCTTCTTACCCGGGTGCCGTTAGGTAGACCTTGTGTGCATCTATGTGTCATGCTGGTTAAGAGGACAGGTGTCTGTAGGTTCTACAGAGGTTGCAATGGTAACTGGTGGTTGACCAATGTGGGGTCATAATGAGGAGGTAGCAGGGATACTTCCTCGAAAGCCTAGGCAGCAGATGGTGATCTGGATCTTGTTCACCAGCTTCAGCGCATCTACCTTAAGCTTCCAGGTGGTTGGGTCTCTTGGATAGAGAGCCATCAGAAAATGGTCACTGCACATTACAAAAGGTGTATCTGCAAGGTGGGGCAGGAGCTGCCCATAGCAACCACCTGGACATAGACTGCAGCAGCAGGTGGAGTCTCTTGCAGTGTGCTGTCTCTACAAGGGCAGAAGGATAAGCGACTGACATTGCACAATTATTCATCCAATGCCATTGTTTTCATCGTATCTATGTGTTCAATATATTCTGTATAATACGATGGTAGACATTCGTTCAGAATTGTGTTATAATTGAAGCGGAGCTGCTCTGAGCACTGATGTAGCACTGAGCAGTTTTTGTTGATGCATTGTATCAAGATGACCAAACTATTTGATCTTCTGTCTTAATTAATTTTGTGCAAGGTCTTGTTCCCACAGTCTGTGTGATATTATAATTTTTCACATAGTCTCCCTCCAATGGCTTACAACTTTCATCGAGCACCCCATCTCACAGGTACAGATATTACAAATAAAATAAACCAATAACTTACAGCTGGCAAATTCATACACAGATAACAATTAATAATCCCTGCAGGACTGAAGTTGTACATCCATTCTGAACATTTAGGAGGAATTGTTAGACATAAAATTGGGTTTTGATTTGGGATACAAGACTATCAATTTTATGGTGAGGTTTTTCAATGGCCTTAATACAAAACCCAGCAAAAAATAACATTATCTGAGCAACTTTATTCAATTAATACATAGTGAACATCCTAAACTCAAGATAAGAAGATGTTAAATGAATTCAATTTCTCTCTCTCTCTCTCTGTTTCGTGTGGTTGACCCACTTCTCTTTTCTCATTTTTATACATATTTACAACCATTGCACATTGTTCAAAAAAAAGAAACGCATAACTACTGAAAAGAACATACATACTCACAATTTTGAAATTCTGCATCTCTGCAAGGCAGTAAGTGAAATTAATCAAATTTCACACACGAATACCTTAGGGTTCAACTAATCAACTGACATGCTGTTTTGCAACTGGGTCACACACGATAACTTTAGGCGTACAGCCTTTCCCGTTAGTATGGTGTGTGGCCTTCTCTTGCGTGGACCAGTGACATGGCATCTCATGGGGACGAATGCAATCACATGTCTAATGTGGGCCTGTGGGATGGATGCCCACTCTTCCTGGAGTGCCTTAAAGAGATCATGAGTCTGACTCGTAATCCAACGTACCGCAATTGAAACCCACTGCGGGTTGGGTAGATTTTTATCGTGGTATGGGACGTCGCAGCCTCAAATGGGTACCCAGCCTCTAATGGGTACCAGGATGGGCTGTCCTGGGAAAGTAAAGACGGCCGGCGTAATGCTGACCACATTACCCACCGAGTGTCGATTGGTCTGTAAAAATATGGGTGCTCTTCCCATATGCCCGATGCGCCTATGGTGGTGTAAAGGGATCTTTGCAGCTCACCCTCCCAGGTGCTAATCGGACTCATGTCTGCAGACAGGGATGGACAGGAAAGGGTTTGTATGTTTTTGGCAGCCAGGAACTGCATGATCAGCCATGCAGAATGGGGTCTGGCATTGTCCTGTTGAAAAAGATATCTGTTGGCATTCTGAAATAGAAGGACATGTAGTTGAAGAATTTCCCTGACGTATCGTTGTGCATTCAAGCTTCCTTCAATGCGCACCAACTGACTCCTTCCATTGTAACTGATCATTCCCCATATTATTACACCTCCACCACTGCAGAGCTTCAACAACAATTTTGGGCTAATCTTTCATTTCACCTATGGTAGACCTTACACCGTCTATTATGAAGCTGAACCAGACACGCCTTCATTGACTGTCACCTACTCAGAGACGATGTTGGTTGATAAAAAAGTTTGATTTTGGTGGTGGCAACACGTAAGGACAGGTCCTCGATGTGGTTGTTGTGCCCGAAGTCCAACGTCATGCAGTCTCTGCCAAACAGTTTGATCAGACACATGATGTCCTGGACTCAAAGCCTACGCAGTTGAGGAAACTGTTGTAAATCTGTCTCTGAGGTGACGAAGCTGAATAAATCGATTCTCTGCTGCTATTACTGTCCACTGTGACGTCGATCTTTATCTGAACCAGTGGCTTGGAACCAGTGGCTTGGAACCAGTGGCTTGGAACCAGTGGCTTGGAACTGGTGCCAAAGTCGACTGCTGGTACTCTGATGTACATTTAGATGCCTGGCAACCTAACTTTGACTTTATTCTGCCTGCAAGTGGCCAATAGCAAGATTTCTTACATATACTGATAGAGGCCCCATTTGTGACTATTCAAAAATGAACTGAGTGTTTTGGTGTAGCGTTATCCTTTTGAGGGTTTTAGTTGCATAGGCAGCAAATAGTGTTCGCCCAAAATTGTGTTGCTTTCTCATGAGCACATCATGAGCTATGCTCACAAATATGGTCTCAAACGACCACTGCGTTGCAATGATTACAAAAACCCTTGCAATTCACACCCACATGTTCACTGGATATGATAAACAACATTTGAGTCTGCTTTTTACATACCTGAGTACAATATTTTTATTTACAAACTAATAAAAATGGGCCGTTGGATAACTATGCGTTCTAGGTTTTTTTTTTAAACGATATAAGTGCTACTGACTTCATAATCATTAAAGCTATCTCTAATTAAAACAAATATTTGTTAATTCTCAACTCACTAGCTGTAGCTTTAATTTGTATATTTTCCAAATTTACTACACCTTGTAAAGACTGCTTACATATTTTGAATTTATTCACATGCTCATAATTAATTAAATTTGTCATATCACCAATTTCTTGACTTCATCGACTCGTTTGTTTAGCAATCAGACATGTTCAAGCAAGCATCATTTTATTAAGCAACTGCTTTAGAACAGCATGGATTTTTATATCAGTGTGACCATTGTGTTGCTCCCCAGTGAGTGAAATCAACAAACCACATCACAAGTTACATTTATAATGATCCATGTGTGTGTTTTAATTTGAGAGGCTCTCTGCTATGCACTAGTGAACCATTAATTGAGAGGAACAAGGAAAGTTTGACTACTGAGGTAACACAAAGAGTTGTGTTTGAGGTATGAGTTGGATTATCTTCACAGCACTCTGGACACATCCAAAGGAGCTCAGATTCTCCTCTCAACATATTCATCAGCGTTCGTGTGGTTAATAGTGCTAGTCCTATGCTGCTTGACAAGACTTTGTGTGCGTCCTGTGTGCCTCTCATGCTTGACTGTGCCAATCTTTTACTCCCAATTCTTTGATTTCTTAGCAGCAATGTGAACATGTTGCTTCCAAAGTCCTCAGAACGTCCTATTTCTTTAAGGGCACTGACAATGTCTGCATGATTCATTGATCTGCCATCTTCAATAATGCGGCACCTGCCAGTCAATCAGTCCTTTCATTACCAACAATACCTGCCATCAGACATCAAAAAACATCATCATATCAGCTCCAGAGGCAAACCTTTCAAGAACAATTTAATGAACATATAAATATTGAGAAAGTTCCAACAGCACATCTATCCCATTGAGGTAAAAATAATTAACAGATTTGATGAGCCAATAAAAAGTAGTCAACCCATTGAGACATCACCAACATGCGGTTGACACCTAAAAGTAGCATGAGGTGAGCTGCATGAAAACGAACAGACTGAATATCATCAATGGCAGAAACAGTGAGCTAGACAGGATGATTAGCAAAAGACAAAAACACCAACACTAGACACAATAAATATTTTACTTGGGGACTGATACTAAGAAAACTGTACGTTGACATCCGACACCAAAATTGTATCAATCATTCAATTGTTATGAGTGAATGTGGAAAGTCTCACTGAAAACACAGGCTGGATTCAAACAACCACATTTCAAAAACCATTAATATAGGAATAAATGACACAATGAACAACAAATGTATCAGGGTTGCCCTAGATTTATTGCGTTGCAAATTCCTAAACTTGTTTTTTGATTTGTCTTCAATTATTCCAACAAGGTTTGGTTTTCAATGTCACCTGGCTGACAGCAAACACATGCTAGAACTTTTGCAATAACAATAATAATATATTTTTTGACAAAAGCACATAGTTAGTCATGCCACAGTCTAGTGCACTGAAGAAAATATCCTTTATTAGAATAACATTTATACATCTTCTTTCAGGACAAGTCTGCTCACCAAAAAAACAACAAGTATCCTGTCAGTACACTGAATACAGCTGAGTCTGGATAAGCAGAAGCCTCAAGGACCTAAGAAAATGCTTTCAATTATCAGGACTTCTACTTATCCAGACAGCACACACAATAGAGAAAATTGCCGGGACTAAGCTCGACTTAACCGAGTTCGACTTATGTGGACTCGACTGTACATCCAACACAGAAATGCACCAACCACTTATTTCTACTCCACCTGATTGCCAAGGCAGAGGATATAAGCCAGTCACAGCAAATGCAAGCTCGGCCATTCCTGATGCCTGCTCTACCACCACCCCTGAACACACATACCATCACATAGCAATACAGCATACCAGTATACGCCCACTTTCATGTGGGAGGGGGGTTAACTATGAGAAAATGTTCCCTCCTCTTTCCAAACAAAAACAGCCACAAACAACACACCTGTGTTACATCAGGTTTCTGCTAGTCCAAGATTGCAGACAGTTGCTGGCAACAACTACACATCTGAACAACAGTATCTGTTTCACTGTAATGCTGAAGAGTTAGATCTTGTGTGTTATAGCCCAGAGGCTCTACGACAAGTTTGTCATAATGTTACAGTACAAAAACAAACCAAAAAAACATTGCACTATTAATTAAATAGAACCTCAAAAGAAAAATTTCTCCTTGAAGGCTTATCATATTTTATTGTTGCTTAACATGATATCCACTCAACTAACAGCCAGCTAAATGAACAAGTTAAAACATTAACTTGGGCAGCAAGCCAAAACATTTTGCCAACAATCTTGACTGGTTATCGTACTGATTAGCTTTGTTTAACTTATGGGCTGTTAAGAACATCAAATGTCTTTTTCTATTACAATTTGCCTGTTTTCTTTTTTCTCAATACCATTTGTGTTGTTTTTACTTGTCATTATTCTGTATTACTTAACTTGCTATTATTTTGTACTGTATTATTTAATTTGAACTTGACACTCACTTGAAATGTCTAGCCAGCATGACCACTGATTCAGCAGAGCTGGTCTTAGATTAGGACAACTGAACATTTGTCATCTCCTGGGGAAGCTGCTTGAATTCTCCTTTACTTTGAATCAAGACTTTCAACTGTAGCCAAAGTTGATTCAGTGGTGTAACATTAGGAAACGACAAGTATATTAAAGGCTTTATAGTTATCTAAAAAGACCTGAACAGGAAACAAGAGACAAGTATAGCAGTCTAGTCAGTAATTTACTCATAAGAGGGTAATCCTTCTTTATGACGACTTCAACACTGGTATGCAAAAGTCCAACAAAGTATGGGTAAATGTATAATTACACCATATAATCTCCAACAATTAGTCAAACAAGCTGCTAAAATCACAAAATCATCTTCAGTACGACACATTAAGTAATATGCCCTGATAAAATCATAGAAAGTGAGGTATCCAATAGTGCAGTGAGTGATCAAAGTGTATTTAATGTATTTTTTTTAGCACACCAACAAAACTTTCATTTCTATCATCAATAGAATAACAAGGTCTTGTTTCTGTCACATCAACAGTATGAATAGAACAATTTTAAAAACCTCCTTTACACTCTATCATTTTGAAGCACTACAAAACACAGCCTTTCAGCATAGAAAATACCAATTATAATGGCAAAGATGCAATTTTTAGCAGCCAGAATCCTTTGTACACATTAAAACGCATCTGTACGGGAAAAACATCAAAAGCCAGTTAGAGTGCTTTTCTGGAACTAGACAATGCAAACAATATTGGTTAAAAACCAATTACATGAAACTGGCCATTACTGATATTCTCAGTTTATAGCCTAACTGTTTCAATTAAATAATTTGTCAGCTAACAATTTATGAAGTGGTACAAAAAATATGTATACGAGACAACTTACTCTTCACTTGCTTCTCTGTTTCGGAGCCAAAGAGGGCCATATTGCTATCCTTCCAGTCATACTTTTTGCTTTTAACCAATCCTGACATAAACAAATGAGTTATTAAAAAGAATGGCACAGACATGCACATACCCACAAATGTCTACTGTTTACAAATATGGAACCAACAGTTTGTAAATGTTGAGAAACTACTATGATCATTGAAGAAATCTGGTTTTATGATTCAGTGGTAAATCTCCAACAGCTGTACTATCAACTATAATTCTGCACATTCTTTTTGGCCATGTAGTGTAGGCCAAAATTATAATGGCTATGTGTAAGTACTATTTAAAAAAATATAATGAAATGTTCTGGTCTATTGTGCATGAGTAATTAATCTGCGCGAAAGGTTGTATATGTGTATCCTGGTGTATTTAAAAAAAAATATTAACCTCAAACCAGCATGTACAGAATTAATCTTGTTCATATTTTCTGAGAAGTTTTTTGTTTATGTAGTTAACCAATATCCATAAAGCGTCACTGACCTCCTTTTCATTGCCAATATTAAAAAATGCTTGCCAGTTGACTAATCTGGTTTGAAATTGATAACAAGTCCTTTTTTCTGATACATGTGATTAGTTATCTTCCATCATATACTATTTTATAATATTTAGATTATTCAGTACGGCTTTCCAGTGGATTTTAATAATTCCTTTGTAAAACTATAAATCTGCAGCTTCAAATGATTCCCCCCCCCCCCCATGTTAACTAATTATCCAGGATTCACAGCCATTTGTAGTGATGCCAAAATCAGTTTTTACTTGCCATATTTTGCTCTTTATGAAATAATGTACATTTGATGTTATTCCATTTGATGTTACCCATGGGCCAACATTACCAGGCTGACAATATTACATTTTATAAAAATAAATTCCCAGTAACTGACTTTTAAACTTTACTAACATGTACACTGACAATATGCTAAAGACTCCGCTTTTTGACACACAGGAGTATAGCTTTGTATTTAAAAAAAAAATAAAGTAAAGAACCCTTTTCCACGCTTTTAGGGGTACAGGGCACATAGGGCTGGACCTATATTTTTATAGACCAATCGGCACAAGATGGGTGATGTGGTCAACATCACGCCGGCCGCCTCTACTTCCCAGGACTGCACCCGGTACCCACTCAAGGCTGGGTCGACCTGAGAGCCAAGGTCATTTTTGAAAAAAGTCCAGCTCTGCCAGGTAGCAAACCCATGACCTTGCGATCCGTGGCGAGTGTCTAGCCGCTCCGCCACAGGAGCTCCCAGCTTTGTATACCAACATTACTCTAATGAGAACAGAGATGAGAAGCATTAGAAGAGCAGCAGGGGCAACTAGAAAAGGAAGAAAAAGACTAACATGTACAAGCAGAATACTAAGCTGATCTGTGCAATTTCTAAACACACATACACCAAACAAATCTAAATAGAATGCCATGAAATAGTAATTTATATATAAGTGGATTATTCCCATGGTAAGCTTTGTCAGTTATACAAAATGAACAGTTACATAAGTGTTGCTCATACATTAGGAAATCAAATACACAATGGTCATGAAGACTCTTTTAAGTCTTCATTGTAAAAAAAGTGATAACTGCTTTTGTTTCCTATTTTCTTAGTATTACCTCGAGACATGGCTGTGTGTTTCTAGATGTCTTGATCAAAAGTGACACAAAATCTGGGGGGAAAAGAACCAGAAGAATATAATCAATAAATACTTTAAATGTGCTGATATTACTGTGGATATCAACATCTTCTTCTCCTCCTTTTCTTCAGCACCAGTGCTGCAAAATTTGTGAAACATCCAACGTCTCTGGGCACTGACTGATCAGTTACCTTTTCTGATTGGTGTCGCATGAATTTGCAGACTCACTGTTGTGTCATCATCTTCCCTCCTCCACTGTACCTGTCTAGAACAGGCGCTGCATGAGTTAGGGTAACCCTGGGACAGAACATGGATCCACATCTCTGATAAGAATTCAAGAACTGGGAATAACGGTAGGCATTTGTGTGGAAGGAAAGAAATGTATAATTTTAAGGGCATCTTTCAGTTATGTCATAAGCCTTAAAAATCCAGATACTGTGACTGATGGTAATTATAAAAGCAACTTGCATTATGCTGGTGAGAATGTCTTGATTGCAGCAAGTCAGATGAAACTACTGAAAATGATAGGCACAATTACTGATCAAAGTAAGCGAAATAAGCCTCAGCTTAAATAATGGGGGTGGGGTGGGTAATAGTAGTATCCAAGAAATGAAGTGTGCTTAAATGTTCACTTAAAGTCAATAGCATTTAGTAAAGTTTCAAAGCTGAAAGTTTTAACAATGTAGTTTTACAGATGAATACTTAAGATTCACTACACAGCCAAAGTGAGTAATCCAGACATTTAGAAAGAAGCTTAAACTGACAACTAATCAAAAACATCTTTAAAATGCCCTCATGTTTATGCCATGCTATATAAGAGGAAAAAAAAAGACGAGAGAAGATTCTTGACAGTCTTACTGCATGGCATGGAGTGTGTCAGCACAAGAACTGATACATGCTGCAGGAGATCGCAGATGGTGGAGAGGCATGATTGCCCATGCCAGTCAGCAAGGCACCTTTTGATGATGATGATAAGGGAAAACTGAAATTCACTCTGTGACATCTGGAAAGACTGATGGAAAAAAGACAACAAAAGAAAATGACTGACAGCTTGGAAGGGTGTCGGCACATAAATGGATTCATCTTATTGGACATTCCAAGATTGGAGGAGCATAATCCTTAATGCCAGCTGGCAAGGCACTTTATGGTGATGATGATGATCAAAGCCAATGGTATTATTAATTTAGGCCAAGTACAGAAAAGTATCTGATATATTAGACAGAAGATGTATCACAGATAGGAAAAAAAAAAAAAAAAAAAAGGAAAAACAGTTTTTATAAAAATGAAGAATATCTTTTGCAACAAATCCCTGCCACTGGAAGTCAGAAAAATAATTATAACAAACTAAAGGGAACCAGTTTTAACACATGGCTGTGGATTTTTGACAGTACATAAGCCAAAAAACTGATATTTTACCCAAAACAAAACTCACAATTCCTTATGAGCCAAAAACTAGTAATCCATTTAGAAAGGGGCCAAGACAACTTATCAAAAGCATCAGAAACAAGCAGTATTATGTTTTTGGTCACACTGTGAGAAGTGGCTCTGAAATGTGACAATTGGACAGATTTATGGAAACAGATAGAGGATAATAAAAGAAGATGAAAATAAAGATATTGCAAGACAAGGGGAAGCATAATCACCCTTGTTAATCAACACGCCTGATAAATCTCCATTACACTAATAAAGAGCTTATTTAAAAAACAACTGGAAAGTATGTGCATATCAAAAGCCAGCAAGAAACAGTAAATGAAAGCCTTTAAACACCCTGCATGCTGTATATCTAGAACATGAAAACACCCCTGCTAATTAACTTATTCCTCACAAACAACCTCTCATGTATTTATTGGTATTTGCTTACATATTACACACTTAACACACTGTCTCCTATCCAGATGTTACACAAATACATCTGGCTCCATGTATTACTATGTAAATCTTCTGTTTCATGTTATTACTTTCATACCCTCAGACAAAAGCACTTGTTAACTGAAGTAACAATTTTTACAGATATAATGAGTTGAGGTAACATCACTCAAAAAAAATTGAAGCTAGTATTCTTTACCTGACTACCAATGCAGCCATGAAATCTGTATATTTAAATTAAATTACACAACTGTCTAGTTTCCACAAACAAGACCAAGATCATCATAACCATTGTCCTGTTGTGCCATTATATGTCACACAGGGCTCGCAGTCTGTTCCTCCATTCTGTTCTGTGCAATCAATTCAATATTATGCAGTCCATCAACTTTTCAGCTCTCTCATCAACATTCGTTTTATGGTTCTTTTGGACATCTTCGCCTCCTTAATCATTTTTTTGGTGTCTGTTTGGAGAGTCTGTGTTGTTTCTTCTCAGGTTGTGTCCAATATAGCCCCATCTTAACTGTCTTATAACTATTGATACTAATGAACTAATGGTTGCCAAGACATTTCTCTTATTTCTTCGCTCATCTTGAATTTGTTCCATCTACAAAGAAAATTAAGGCTCTCCTTGCAGTACTGGACGAGGGCTGGACGCGGGCTGGACGGCTTAGTTCAGTTTAGTGGGAGTTCTCTCCCTTGGCCGCACTGGAAACAGTGAGCGGAAAAGTCACGAATCAAAGAAGACAGTGAGGTCGATATCAGGGCTGCCAATGCTTGGTTGTGTCCCCCAGATCTGGGTTTTTTTTCTGATGTTGCGGGGAAATCTGGGGTTTATTTTTCATTTGTTTTTGCCGATCTGTATGCTTTAATGACTGATAAATTCGCGTGGTTAGGGGTAGGGTTAGCGGTAGGATTAGGGTTAGGGTTAGGGGTAGGGTTAGGGGTAACGTTAGGGTTACGGTTAGGGTTAGGGGTAGGGTTAGGGTTAGCGGTAGGATTAGGGTTAGGGTTAGGGGTAGGGTTAGGGGTAACGTTAGGGTTACGGTTAGGGTTAAGGGTAGGGTTAGGGGTAGAGTTAGGGGTAGGGTTAGGGGTTAGGGTTAGGGGTAGGGTTAGGGGTAGTGTTGGGGTTAGGGTTAGGTTTAGCGTTAGATGTGACAATTTTGACGCAGGAGTTCGCTATAATCGCGCACAGTCACATACACACCCAAACAGTCGACGGACTGTGGATGCTACAGACAATTCGCCACCGATTGGGCACCAGCCGCGCGCTATTGCCATCATATTTGGCAGACTTTCAGTGGCACCACTCCAACAAGCATCAGATTGTCGGCCAGTATTTGGAACTCCTACGTCAAAATTTTCACATCTAAGCCTAACCCTACCCCTACCCCTAACTCTACCCCTAACCCTAACCCTAAACCAAACCCAAACCCTACGCAACACTACACGCAACAGTATGATGACTACGCAACCCTTCACGCAACCGTATGATGACTACTCAACCCTACACGCAACCGTATGATGACAACGCCACCCTACACGCAAGCGTACGCAACCCTACACGCAATCGTATGATGATAGGTAAGTATGTCATTTGTTTCGTGGACTTTTCCGCTCATTGTTTCCAGTGCGGCCAAGGGAGAGAACTCCCACTAAACCGAACTACGCCATCCAGCCCGCGTCCAGCACTCGTCCGGTACTGCAAGGAGAGCCAAAATTAAAATACAAAAACTTATTAAATCTTACTATTCTTACAATTGAAATCACCAGAACTGACAAAAGCCGCTGATATGATCTTATAATACTTATATCTTTTGAGCCTAATGAATGATTACTTCAAAAGTAATTCATAACGAATATCATTGTCTTAAAGAACACAAATCATTCAACAGTATAAACATTCATTTTACCGACTGCTGACGACCCCCCCTTTTTCCACCCCCTTTTCTCACGTTAATAACTGCTATTTTTGAAGGAAAAAAAAGTTTTTTTTTGATTTAAATGCCTGCAGGAGCAACGCAACTGCAATGAGTCAGATCTAAATAATCAACTTTGTGTTACGGTAAATACTTGTGCAACAAAAGTTACTGACCTTGGTCTACAATTATTTGTGAGTTATGTAAAGCCTATAGACATATCCTGTTCTGAAAACAAACATACAGTTTTGCTCACCTGCGATTCGTGCAGTGTCCTTCACTTTTGTGCTGGCGCTGCCCGTGTAACTATGTGTGCTCACCAGTGTTGCCACTTTTCTTTGACAAAAAATATCCAAAACGGTGTCAAAAAATATCTAAAAGGATCTAAATCTGCGTGGAAAAGATCTAGAAAAAACATCCAAATTGAAAAAGTCAAAAATTACATAGCTTTTGTTATGACTTACCCTACATAATCATGTCCTCACCCTCACTGATGTCTGTCTCACAAGATCCACAGGATAAACTTAGCTTGGATAATGAAGTTGAAGCTTCAGATCCAAAATGACCCTGGTATGCTTTAGCTGTTCAAATTTCTTTATAAGTGGAACAGTAGGCTTATTTCTCTAGTCTCATCAGGCCGAATTTTAATGGCACGATAGCATTTAAGAGGTCAAATTTCATCCTGTTTTTTAGGTTAGATTTGAGATAATTCCTAGCACTGAAAACTTTTTCTACGTCAGCATTTGAGTGGGGTAGTATCATGGCAGACATGGCACTTTAAAGAGCTTACAGAATGGAGTGTTTGATGAGGCATCTTTAAATTGTCTCACTTCACTCCAAAACGCTTTAGTTTCTGTTTTGTTTGTCCTTTCAGCTAACTTTATTTTGGTTAACTGATATTCTGCTTCCGCGACACTATTATCAGTAGCCCCTAAAAATTTCATAACTTTACTTTAATATGTCAATACAATAGTATGTCCTTTATTGGCTGAAGTATGTTGCTCACAGAAAAAAGCGGTTTCTTAAGTTGTTCTCTTCATTCTCTGTTAACAGTCTTTTTAGTTTTTAAATCATCAATTTTTGATTCGATTTAATATCCAAGGTGTGGCTTAGGAGCCAAATAGCTCTCTATAGTGCAAGTGAGCAAATCAGATTTAGAAGTTGGCAACACCAGTCTTTTACCGAGTGAAATAGCAAGGTGAGAT